GGCTCGGGCTGCTCGGCTGTACGGGCGGCTCGTGCGGCGCTGGTGTCGCGACGGGCGGCTCGCTGGCGGCTCGCGGGCGGCTGCACAGGCGGCTCAGGGACGGCGGCGCGGGCGGCTCAGGGAGCTCACGGGCGGCTGCAACGGGCGGCTCGCGGGCGTCGGGCGCTAGGGCGTTGGGGCGACGACGGGCGGCGCTCAGGCGTTCGGGCGGGCGGCCGTAAGGGCGAAAGGGCGGTCGGCGCTCGGGCGCTAGGGCGGGCGGCCGGCCGTCAGGGCGCTAGGGCGGGCGGCCGTCAGGGCGCTAGGGCGGGCTGCGGTCGGGCGCTAGGGCGGGCGGCCGTCAGGGCGCTAGGGCGAGTGTCGCACGGGCGCTAGGGCGGGCGGCCGTCAGGGCGCTAGGGCGAGCGGCGCTCGGGCGCTAGGGCGGGCGGCCGTCAGGGCTCTAGGGGGGGCGGCGCTCGGGCGCTAGGGCGGGCGGCGCTCGGGCGCTAGGGCGGGCGGCGCTCGGGCGCTAGGGCGGGCGGCGCTCGGGCGCTGGGGCGGGCGGCCGTCAGGGCGCTAGGGCGGGCGGCCGTCAGGGCGCTAGGGCGGTTGGCGCTCGGGCGCTAGGGCGGGCGGCCGTCAGGGCGCTAAGGCGGGCGGCCGTCAGGGCGCTAGGGCGGGCGGCGTTCGGGCGCTAGAGCGGGCGGCCGTCAGGGCACTAGGGCGGGCGGCCGTAAGAGGAGGGAGCGGCGGGAGCGCGACGGTAGGGGCGACACGCAGGGTCGCTAAAAAAAAGAACGCGCGCCTCGGGGCGCGCTTCGGTGGGCCCTAGGAACAGTCCCTAGGAGGGGACCTGCTCTGATTCCATGAGAAGAATTGAACGAGAATGAAATGAGTATGAACGAAGTGAGTACAAATAGGAAACCCTAATTGGGTTGTACCCCCTATGGGATACCCCACTATAGCCTACACAAATAAGTAAGCTATATGTTCTGACAGAGGCTGTCTTGATCAGGGCAAATTTTTTCAGTGTAAATCACCCTGATACCCTGATTATCAGGGTGGTTTTTAGAAGTCACACTGATGGCATAGGGTCTTTTTTTCGGGAGCTAGAATTTTCCTGATATGCCAGGGTTTACATTTAAGGCACACTGATGACTCAGGGTTACCGATTTCATAACGAGTTTTACCCTGAAGCGCGTAACATCACCCCTTTCCCCCTAACCCCCTCCCCCCCAATTCGCCTTCGTACTTCTGTCCCAGTAGAATAGTTTTCATTATTAAATATTTGAGCTATCGGAATATTCGCGCTGGAGTGTCTCGATCGGTAGTTGGATTTGGAATGATGATGGCTCGAGATCGATTCTTGGTTCTCTTTGTTTGGAACTTCCGTAGAAACACTTCATCAGGGTATTCAAAATTGTTACACTGTGGCATAAGGGTTAACTTTTTGAAACTATGGAAAACCCTGATGGAAAAGAATTTTCCCTAGGGGTCACAGTGATAATCAGGGTTTTGCAAAGGTGCATGACTGTTGATAAGGGTTGCTTAAAACAAAAAATTAGCCCTGGTCTTGATACGAGGATAGGAACACACCCTAATTGTATGTGTAATTTATGTTTTAATCAACATTTTCATTTACATTCACTATGATCAGAGTTCCTACCACAAGACTTCCACTACCAAACTATCTAAAGCATTAATATCCTCTCCAAGTTCCTTCCTCTAACAACAATCTCAAATTATTTTTTCAATTTTTACAAAATCCAGGCCTACGACTTGATTAGGTTAGGAGTTGGGATTTAATCTACTGGGACGTCAAGCGTTTGGTGACTTCATTTTGTATATATTTTATGTTGATAAAGAATACGCACAATGATATACGTTTAACCTAAATCATTGAACAAGCATGTTGAGCTATTTCTGCGATTGATCCTCGTAACTACACTCCGCACTTATTTCATCCTACATCAGCCCCACCTGATGACGTTGACTCGAAGGGCAAGCTCTTGGATGTTTCCTCAGACCTCGCTGGTTGTACGGTTGAGTCATTTGTGCTGGATATGCGTCAGCATAGGCACCCGTGGAAATTAGGTGGACTGCCATGACCTTGACCTTGCCTGGAGCGTGTGATAGATATAAATGACAACCTACAATTAAAAACGAATAGGAGCTCTTACGGGCCTTTTTTCAGCTAGTCCTTGTTTTTGTTTCTTGTTAACTTCAGGATTTAGTCTTGTATAATAGTCGATTTTGGGCAACTGAAATATGTCAATAGTACGGGCAGCATTCCTCACGCTGGTGATGATGACACCAAGCGGATGGCGTGTGCGCAACCAAATCACCGCCACCAGAATCAAAATTGACATGAGGTGCTGGATGCATCCCGAGCAGCTGGATGTATCCTCTCCTCTGCCCTCGTCACCAGCATCCACACTGAAGCATAAATCGCTGGGGCAATTTCTCTATTCCATCACACTTCACTTGGCACTTTTTTACCACAGCACACAAGGCCCTCCCTCTCAGCCTTTTCACTCTCGCCGCCCACGCCGCAATCCTTCGGAGTTGTTCAATCGTACCCACACTCCGCCGCCGCCAACTTTCAGTGTACCAGCAAACATGGGTTTCGAGGGCGAGGCTCGCGTGGTCGTGGAGAAGGAAACCATTGCCGATCCGGCTCCTCTGGGGCTTGCGGCTTTCGCGCTCACCACCTATGTGCTCTGCGCACACAATGCAGGTAAGCTCGCTTCGGCCCCACGCAATCCGTCGTCCTAACTGGATAGTCAAACTCCCCACGTTCCCCACGCTGGAAAAACACACCAATTGTCGATCTCGCACTCCATGTTAATTCACTCGCGCTGTCCTGAACGTCCTCGCCGCGTTCCCCGGCGGTGTGGCAGGGTGGGCGCCCGACGTGATCTGGGTGGGGCTGGCGTTCTTCTACGGCGGGCTGGCGCAGCTGCTGGCGGGCATGTGGGAGTTCAAGAAGAACAACACGTTCGGTGCCACCGCATTCTCCACCTATGGCGCCTTCTGGATGGGCCTCGGCTTCTTCGTGCTGCTCAAGCTCCTCGGCTATGTACGTTCCCCCCCTCCTACCTCGGGCTCAAATCCTTGCCACCGGTGGCTTCGAATTCATTCAGTCACCCTCTTCGTTCTTCCGTACCCAATTCCTTATCTTCACTCCTCGTTCCTTCTTCGATTCTGCTGTTCGACCCCGGTCATCATCATTCCTCGTCTCCCCCCCAATTCCCGCGCTGCCGCCGCGCGCCCGCGCGCCCGCCCGCCCGTCCGACGTGGCACTCCAACAGGTGAAGCTGGAGGCGGCGGACATCTCGGAGGCACTGGGGTGGTTCCTGTCGGGCTTCTTCATCTTCAACAGCTACATGACCATCTGCGCGCTCATGGCGTCGCAGGCCGTGCTGCTCGTCTTCGTGCTGCTCGAGCTCACGCTGCTCTGCCTCTTCATCGGCAACTTCAAGGGCCAGAAGCCCGGCGACAGCGGCTCCTGGATCACCGCCGGCGGCTACCTCGGAATTCTCACGGCCGCCGCAGGTACGCTGCGGCACCAGGCCGCAAGACGCGCTGTGGCGTGTGGTCACCGCGCGGAAGTGAACTAGGCGGACAAACGAAAACCATCCCGCGGAAATTGGGAGTTTTCAGCTCTTCAACATTGTGATACAAAAGAATCTCGATCAAACTGGTCAGTTTCGACGAGTTCGGGCTGAACTTGCCGTCAGTGCGCTTGTGCTGCCTCCCCATTCCCTTATTCTTCTCCGCCCTTTTGTTTTCCCTCCATCTCAGCGTGGTACGCGTCGGGCGCGTCGTGCTTCAACGCCATGGCGCGTCGCAACGTGCTCTACACGGGCAAGCCGCTCCTCTCCTTCCGCAACCCCGCCACCCGCGACGACACCAACGCCGCCGAGCCCTAGAGGGTGCCGCTGCTCTCGTTCCAACGCTCGCTTCGAGCAAAATTCCGGCGGATGTTGCTGCTGCTGCTGCTGGAGCTGCTGCTCTCAGGTCGTCGATGGCTGTGCATAGCTGTTGCTTCAGCTGCTGCTGTCGCCGTTACTACTAGCGTTTGTGATGGGGTTGCTCGTGTGGAAGGGAGGCGAATAAGGAAGCAGACGTCGAGGGGTTGCCATGAGGTCGTTACGTTGTGGCGATAGGGAAGGAAGTGCCCATTTGTAAGAGAAATTAAAGTCTGGCCCGCAGCTTGAGAGGATTTGGTTGCTACTGTACTTGTAAATGGTCTTGTTTTGTGTGCCTTTAGTGTTTTGTTTTGTTTTGTTTTTGTGAATTTATTAAAAGCTAAATATACTCCACCAGACAGCAATACGGTAATGAAGGTTGGGCAGGAGGTGCAAGGGGATGGGAGGGAAGTGGTCGGCAGTGGGAAGTGGAATTTACAGGCGTTGTTGAATGGCTGTACAACTGGAGGAAGGAGGAAGAGGGATGAGCTCCATTGAAGGAGCAGAGGGAGGGGATGTGCTAGTTGTGCAACTGTCACTAGAGGCACGGACATGGCATGGCATGACCAAATTTGGATACCGTACTAACTGAGCTGAGCACATACTGCATTGCTAGCTTTACCCTACATTAGTAGTTGTTGTGACTGTACCATGCTTCACTAGACTGGTAGGTACTACCGTACTGGTGCCAGCCTAGAGCCATAGAGGTGGTGCTTTGTGCAGCAGCTAAGACGCAATGGAGTGGCAACTTGGAAGCAACATAACTGGCTTACCATGAGTTCAAACCCAGCGCCTACAAATCTATGTGCAAACTAATCTCGTCTAGGGAGAATGGGGCCACTAGTGGGGGCAAGGGCGTGGCAGACACAGCCACGCATAAATAAATCCAAACGACTCAAACCCAACGCCGTCCCCCTTCCTGTCACGTCTTCGCAAAAAGAAGAATCACATTCTCACAAGCAGCCCGCCCTTATGTGGGACGACGAGTGGAGGAGGCGGGGGGGGGGGGGGGGGGGGGACCAGTGGGGCTGTGCGTGCAGGTGCTACCTACGTGCGCGACCCCTTGGACTTGAGTGGGAGGCGCTTCATGGATGGGGAGGAGCTCAGCAGCAGCGCTGGGACTGACGACGGCATGCTCACCATCTCCCCCTCCCCCCCTCCCCCTTCCACATCCTCCCCTCTCCCCCTTCCTCCACCTCCTCCCCCAACGCCGCTCCCCCCGTTCACGCCCACGCGCTTGCCGGCAGAAGCAGCAGGGAGCGGGGACGGGGAGAGCAGCGCGAGGGGCTGCATGCGTGGAGCAGCGGAGAGCTGGGGGAACTCCTCGCCCTTATTCAGTGCAGGGGGCACCGTGGGAGTGGCGCCTGGGGGCGCTGCGAGTATGAACCCTGTCACCACTGCATCCTCCTCGTCCTCCTCATCCTCATCATAGTACCCACCCCCGTTGTTGTCACGCGGGGAGTAGTCACCTTCCCGCCTGCTGCTCAGCGCGCCCCCGCCGCCTCTCCTGATGCTGCCGCCGTTGCTGCCGCCACTGCCGCTGCCGCTGACGTCGGCATCGGCGGCGGGGGTGAGGCAGGAGGGGAGGCGGAAGGAGGGGGTGATGCGCGCGCGGGAGCGTGCGATGGCGCGGCGGCGCTTGCTGAGCTTCCAGTTGGGGAGGTCGGGCGCGGGCTGGGGGAGGGGCGTGGTGTCGTTCACGTGTTGGAGTACCCACGGGTGCTCTGTGTTCGGAGTGAGGTGGGACGCGGATGGGGTTGGGGATGGGAGTGGGAGCGGGAGTGGGTTTGGGGGTGGGAGTGGGGGTGGGTGGGGATGGCGATGGGGATGGAGACAGAGACAGGGATGGGGTTGGGACTGGGGCTGGGGATGGGGAGGGAGGAGACAGTGACAGGGATGCAGACTGGCAAGGGAGGGAGAGGGGGCAGCGCGGAGCCAAAGAGCAGGTGCCCAACATTCCAAGAAGGGCCCAATGCACCCTGAAACCATAAAACAGCAACCCTAAACTTTAAACCCCCAGCTGCACTTCCCCATACCCCCCGCCCACCTCCCGTCCCCCCATCCCCCACCCCCCCATCCCCCACCCCCCCATCCCCACTCACCAAGAACCCCCTGCACTGTAATCCGTTCCTGCACGTCCAGGCAGAGCATGCGCCGCACCAGCCCGGCAGCCTCGCGGCTCACATGCACCCACGCGCCCGACTGCGTGTCCACGGCGCCCCTGAGAATGGCCTGGTACACGCCAATGTCGGTGCTGTGCCAGAAGGGCAGGCGCTGCGAGAGCAGTGTGTAGAGGATGACGCCCATGCTCCACACGTCCACCTCCAGCCCGTACCGCCCCTCTAGGACCTCCGGTGCGATGTAGAACGGGCTCCCTGCGTACCCCCGCATGCGCTGCCCTGGTGGGGGTCAAGTGGGGGACGGGGAGGAGGAGAGGGATGAGAGTGGGGAGAGGAGAGGACAACTCAGTTTGAGTGGGAGTCATTGAAGGCCGGGATACACTGGGGCGATGTAGGAGGGTCTGCTTGCGCACCCATGGATTTGACTGGCCTGGTGGACGTAGAGGGGGATGGGGTAAGGATGGTTTGTCGAGCAGGGAAACGAGGGGAAGGAGGAGCTGAGAGGGCAAGCATGTGAGTAGGTTTGTAATTGACTAATACTATTATTAATCATTAGTTAGAAAACGGGTTATTTTGGGGGGTTGTTGAAGAAGCAGATGCCTGATGGGTGGTGACCGAAGGTGCGGGGGAGTGGGGTGGTTGAGGGTGAGAGGAAGTGTGAAGACGAGGAGAAGGGGCGTTGATATGTGCATTGTCGGAGAACAAGTACTCTGGAGAAATGTAGAAGGGGCATGGGAGATGATGGGGAGGAGGTGTGGCACAGGGCAGGGAGGGTGTGCTCGGACCACAAGGCATGAATGACCAAAAATCGAGAGCCTTGCTTGACTTGACATGTGAGCACACGCGCAGATTGCACCCAGGTCCAGAAAGGGTTAAGCCTTGCAAGCCTCCTTTGATCAAAGTCACACCTTCATTCCCATGCACCTAAATCTGGGCAGAGCCCTGCTGTGCCTCTCCTCTCCTCGCTATCTCGCTCCCCCCTTCCCACCAGCCCCCAACTCAACTTGACTCGAACACTTGGGGCCTCACCCCTTCCATTCGGCCCTCCTCACCCTCTCCACTGCAACCCTTGTCCCAGCTGCGACCTCCCCTCTCCCCTCCACCCTCCCCCAACCCCATGTCTCACCGGGCTGCACGAACGTGGAGATGCCAAAGTCAGCAACACGGAGGTCCCCCAGGGGCCCGCCCTTGGAGGCGAGCAGCACGTTCTCGGGCTTGAGGTCGCGGTGGCACACGCCGTGCCTGTGGCACAGCGCCACCGCGCTCGCTATGCTGTGCGTCACACACGCCGCCTGCCGCTCCGAGATGTGCGGCGCACTGTTGATGTGCGACAGCAGGTCCCCCCCCGAGCACATCTCCATCACCAGGTGCACGTCCTGCTCATGATACACGTGGGGAGGGGAGGCGGCGGTGGGGAGGAGGGGGGAGACGGGATACGTGAGATTGGTTTTGGGGCATGTAGGAATCGAGAGGGGAAGGACCAATCTTTGTAGCGGAGCCAGGAGAGGGGGAGTTGAAATAACAAAGGCATGCTGATTAAACAGCTCAACTAGTAGCACAAACAGAAAAACCATGCAAGCCCCTTCCTCCCCTCCCCCCATCCCTCCCTCTCCCTCCCTTCCACCCCATTTACCCCCACCCACCTGAGCGTCTTCCAGAGCCTCATGCAGGGAGACAATGTGAGGGTGGCCCTTGACGCGCTGCATCACATCCACCTCCACCAGCAGCGCCTCCACCTTCTTCGCGTCCCCCAGCGTGCTCTTGGCGATCGACTTGCACGCGAACCGCTGCCGCGACCGGCGCTCCACGCACGCACGCACCACTACGCCGCTGCGCCCCTCGCCGATGCGCTCGCCCACCTCGTAGCGCCGCTTCAGGTCCGTCAGCCCGTTGCCCAGCAGCCCGCGCTCCTCCTCGCCTCCTCGCAGCATGTTGCCCCAGCTGCGCCCCCTGCGGTGCCCGCCCTTGCCGCTGCTGTTGCCGGTGGTGCTGGTGTTGTTGCTACTGCTGGTGGTGGTGGTGCCAGTCGTGCTGCTGCTGCCGGTGGTGGTGGTGGCGGGTGCTTTTGATCCGCCGTCAGCCTTCACCTGCTGCTGCTGCTGCTGCTGTTGCTGTTGCTGTGACTGGTGATTCGCACTGATCTCCCCGTTGCTGTTGCTGTCTTGCTGCAGTGCCCCTGCACCAGCTGCTGACATGCTCCCACTGCCTGCGCTTGACCCCATTGCACCCGTCCCACCCCCTTCCCCCCTCCCTTCGCCTCTCGCCCCACCTACCACATCTCCACTTCCTCCACCACCCGCCACACCGCCACCACCACCACGTGAAACGCCACCAGCAGCACCTGCCACACTACCCCCCTCAGCTCCTCCCCCTCTCTCTGCCACCATGCCAACCTCTGCTGCCTCACGCACGCCCTCTCCACTTCCCCTGCCGCCTCCCGCCGCGCTCTCACTGCCACTTCCACTGCTTCTCTTGCTCCTGCTGCTGCCCTGCCCCCTCCCTACGCCTGCCACCACCCCACCGCCACGCTCCCCTGACGCACTCGCAGCAGCAGGAGCAGCAGGAGCAGGAGCAGAGGAGGTAGCGGCAGACGCAGAGGCAGAGGTAGAGGCAGTTGCAGCAGCGGAGGCAGCATTGGGTGCGGGGGCAGCAGCAGAGGCGTGGCGGGCGTCCCACCAGGAGGAGTCGAAGCTGGTATTGGAGAAGCGCCGAGAGAACCTGCCCCGGCCCGAAAACACCCCCAGCAAACCCCCTCCCGCCTTGCTGCTGCTGCTACCGCTGCCGCTGCCACTACCAACGGCACCTGACGCCCCCTTCTTCTCTCCCTCCTCCTTCGTCTCCTTGGATACGCACCCATCCCCTTCCCCACTTTGCCCACTCTGCCCGCTCTTCTCACCGCGCGCACCTTCCCCTTTCCCCTGCGCGCCCTCGTCTCCCCCCGGGGGCACCCAGAGCCGCCTCAGGTCCAGGCTGCGCGCGGATTTCCGCGCCCTGTCCGACAGAGACAGGGACCTCGACGCTGACCTGGACGCTGACGGGGACGCTGACGTGGACGCTGACGTGGAACCGCCTGCAGCGTGCAGGGTCGGGGCAGCGGACGCGCTGTTGCTGCTGCTGATGTTGTTGTGGTTGCTGCTGGCGCTGGTGGTGGTGGCAGGAGCGCCGGGTGCTGCAGCAGTAGCTGGAGACGAGGACGAGGAGGAAGCAAACCACCACGAGTGGGAGTGCCCCCTGTGCCCACTGCCGCCACCACCAACCCTGCGCTCACTTCCTTCCCTTGACTCTTCCCCTTCCTTGTCCCCCCGGCTTTCCTCATGCGCCCCCGCATGTCTGACCGTCTCCTCGCCAATCAGCCCGCTCCCATTGGGGCTGCGAATCCTGCCCGCACGGGGCCCAGCGCTGCTGCTATTACCGTCACTCGCCCTGCCGCCATCACTCTCGCCACCACTGGCGCCACCCGCCCTCCCACTCCCCCTCTTCCCTCCCGTCGCTTGCTTCTCATTCACCCCCTCGCGTCTCTCCTCCCCTGTGACTCCCCCGTTACCCAGCCTTGTTGCACCTTCGCTTTCCCCGGCCCTCCCGGCCTTCCCCCCCGCCTCCCCCACGCCCTCCTCCGACCCTGCATCGCTCTCACTCCACCTCCCCCGACTCCCATTCCCCGCGCCCCCGATCACCCGCCCGGGCGCCCACCCTCTGCTGCTTCCGCCTCCCCCCGCTGTTTCCCCCGCGCCTGCGCCCCCCGCCTCGTACCTCTCTAGAAAGTTCGTTCGCGCGCCAGCGGACGCGGGCCGCCGCCCGAACGAAAAGTCCCGGTTCAGAAAGCCTTGCGCGGTCGCGGCGGCGGCGCCCGCGGCGGGGCTTCCGCCAGATCCGACAGATGCTGCTCCGCCGCTGGCGGAAGCCGCGGAAAGTCCCGGAGGGGAGCGGAGTGGAGCGGAGAGAGCGGAAGCTACGGAGGCGGGGGAAGGAGCGGGGGAGGGCGTGCGGCGGAAGGAGAGCTCGACACCCGTGGCGGAGAGGGCGGGGGAAGGGAGGGACCCGCTCGAGAGGAAACGCGGGCGCAAGCTTGCGCCTGCGGCCGCGGGGGAAATCAACCCAGCGGGGGAGAGCGTGGGCGGGGTCGCGCGCAAATACGTGGCGGAAATGGGGAGCACGGAGGCCTCCGACGGCCCGCGCTTGTGGCGATTGCGGGGGGTCGGCGGGGAGCAGTCATGCTGGGCGGAGATGGGGGAAAGCGGGGAAGGGGAGGGTTGCGCGCTGCGGAAAGGGCTTAAATATGAGTGCGAGTGCGATCTGCTGTGCCGCGGAAACTGATCCGCTTCCACGTCATACGCGCCCGCAGACGCCCCTGCGCCGCCTGCATTGCCTCCGCCTCCGCCTCCCCCGGCTCCAACGCGCCCGCCCGACCTGCGCTTGGCGCTGAAAAGCCCCCTCGAGCCCTTGTCAAAGATCGGCTCCCCCTCCGCACGATCCCAAAACTGTGACGACGGCGATCGCCCGGTCCTTATCGTCCCCGCGTCCGCACCCACACCCACACCCCCGCCGCCGCTCGCTCCGTTGGCGCTCACAGGAGCGGCGACCGCGGAGGTGATGGCATCGGCGGGGAGGCGCGGGGTGAGGTCGGATTGCGCCATGAGCAGCCGGTGCATGGCACCTTGCAATCGCGGGGAAACCACCTGGAACTTGGGCGATCCCGCCATGTGCTGCATTTGCGGCGATATCAACGACCGCGGGCTTCCGCCGCAGCTTCCGCCCCCCGCAGGTCCTCCCAGGCCTTCCCGCGCCACCAATGCCGCTACTGCCGCGGCGGTGAACGGCGTTCCCCTGCCGCCGCTGCCACTGCTCATACCCATCCGCCCGTCGTGGCTGCTGCTGAGGACTCTCCCCTCCCGCGCGTCATTCAACACGGCGGCGGGGGAATACGACGCGGGGGACGCTGGAACAAACGACGAGGCTGAGAGTGTTAGCGGAAGGTTCAGCGGGGGTGGCAGTCGATCGCGGGCGCGCGAGAGCGCGAGGGAGCCCCGCTCAAGCGTAGCCGCGAGCGCTGCAGCCGCGGCAGCAGGCGCAGGCGGAGCAGACGAGGAGACGGGGAACGGCGTGGTGTAGGTGGTGGAACGGCGCAGGAACGGCGACGCTTCGTGCGGCGGACTGGAAACGATTCCCCTCGGTCGCTGCTGCTGCTGGTGCTGCTGTTGCTGCTGCTGGCGCGAAACGAGCGCGTCCAGATTGGGCTGCGAAACCGTGCGACGGTGGTAACGAGACGACAGATACTCCTGCACGTGGCCCCCCTCAACCTCTAACTCACCCGCCCCCTCCTGTCCGTGCTCCGTGCCTTCCGCTCCACCATGGCCCTGCGCTCCCCCACGGTTAGGCCCGGCCGCGGAACCTTGCCAATGAGCTACTCCCTCCCGTCTACCGTGGCCATACGCGTCGCGATGCATCATCCCCGAACCCTTGCCGTTCCAGCTACGCTTCCCTTCTCCGTTGTCCCTGACGATTCTTCGCTAGGGTAGGTGTCCAAGATCTTCGAGACCTGTAGTTGCCCGTGAATTAATTTCTGCCGGCGACTGACATTTTACTTCTAGAGGCGTCCATTCATGAAAAGCCCTTCGAGCTAAACGAAAATGGCAGCACTGGATGACTCATGGGTATCAATGAGAAACACGAGGGGATGGGGGTAAACGAGCGTAACCTTGTCACTGATGATCTGCAGGCTCGCTGGAACCTTTTCTCTGAAATCGAATATAAATTAGACTAGGTGTCTAAAGTTTAGGTGGTTGAATCGAGGAGCAGGTCGAGTAGGCAGCACATTGCAGCGCAATGGACATGCTGGGCTAGCAAGGACTCTGCCCTAGCACCACATCTGCACGTGTGAACTACAGAAAGCTGGGAACAACGACGAAAAGAATGGTCCTTTTTGCTTACATGAACTTTCAACCTTCTTGAACAGGTGCTCCAACACTTGGTGCCTAGGGCCACTTCATACTTAGTATGGTTCGGTACGGTGCACAGTGTTCCTCATCGGTCAAGTTGGAAAATGCTCCCGACCTTGATTTGACGTAGAGCCTCAAGTCTTGATTCAGATCGCGGTTCTGAAGTCTGGACACCATCTGAAGTGTGGACACTTTGGTAGCAATGAACACGTCTGATTGGCTGCCATGCTCCAAGATTTCTCGCAACTTGTGTAATGACCAATGATCGGGTGTGTTTACACGTCACTGAGGGAAAATTTTGGTCGATGGTGTCCAAGCTTCGCCCAGAACCGGACCTTAGGCCTCGTGTTCAAGACTGCTCGACAACCTTTTACCAACAAAATATAGACCATGAAACATCCAGTATGTATCATCCATGATTTCAGGAGGCACTACCACCCCCCTGACCGGCTGCCTCGTTCCCAGCCAGGCGGAAACTTGATTTTCGGGGAATACGCCCTCAAATTATTTCCAGGCATGCGTGTGTGTGCTCTGCCGAGAGGAATGGTGTGTGTCCAGATCAGACTGCACAGCGTTCATTCAAAATGCTGGAATGGATTGGGCGCATATTTGGGTGGGTTGGGTTGGGGTGGGTTGGGGTGGGTTGAGGTGGGGTGGGTTGGGAGGGGAGGGAAGAGAGATAGCAGCACCCCAAAGCTACTGGACGAGTTTGACAATTTGCGACTGCCTTCACCGGAGCCCGGCGCGTTTTACTTTAGGACGTGTTGAAAGTGCAAATATCGCAGGATCGTCTGCATATATCGATCCCCACAATCGAGTGGGCAGATCGTTTGGCGAAACGTGGCGACCGCGACGTTGTAGCGATCGCGGCTGAAAATTGACAGATTTCCTGCGAGCAGTGATCAGTCGCATACTCACACTGTACAGAAATTTTGGCTAGAAAGCGAACTGTAGCATAATTACAGTGAAGTTAATCAGGTAACCGATCCGCACATCGATCGTGACTGACGATCGTTCGTCTACTTTCACTGCGTCCTTAGGCACTTGCTAGGTTTGGATTACACGATACATTGATATCTTCCCATACTTTTAAATCAAGTAATTTCGCTGGTTTCCTAAGCAGGACATAACATGTTTAATTTACTGTTTTACTAAAGCACTCTTCATTGTGTATAGTGCATTGACCTGAAGTAAGCTGGTTTATGAAAAACAAAATTGCCTATATTTTCCCTATTTAATCAGGTATGGCTAGCAAAGCGATTCATGTAACTGGGCACCATGAACAGAATGGATGAAGCACTCTGATTACTAGTGTGTTCTACCCATATACTTTATTATCTACGTTTTTAAGAAATACTACCGGTGTACGTTCGAACGTTTATTGAATTCGAGTTCAACGTCAGGCATAGCATAGCTCTCAAACTTTGAGGTGCGGTTCGTCAGATCCTCACCGGCCTGACACACTTTCAAACATTCCCGCGCTTTCCTCCTGTTCTGGGACCAATGATCAGGCGCAGCAGTCATACTGCTACATGCCTACGTCTGACCTTACACGCACATGGATTCCTTCCAACAACACTCTCACACAAATGCTCTTGCTGGTTTCTTTCGATCGGCCTCAGCAATCTGTCCACGAAAAGAGCAGAATCCCCATCCTGCTCAACTGCAACGATGAGTGCCTCTCAGCCGCCAGGAGCAGCCCGTAGGAATTTCGGAAAGCACAGTGGGATACGGCAGGCTTCTTCCAGCACGACTTACGGATCTACCGCTGACCGTACCAAGAATTCTGACCTGCAGGATAAGGAGAACAAGTCGTCGTTTGAACCGCAGAAGAAGCGAAAGCTTGAACCTTCTAGCAGGATACCAGCAGCTCCAACAAGGACCGCAAGCACAACTCAAGCAGCGTCACGCCCGCCATTGACCTTGGTGATTCACAACAGCGATGCCGACGCCAGTCATGATTTATCAACCAAAGTCCGTAAATGCGCAACTCTTCGTACTCATTTAATCTTTTCTGGTTATTCTGAGGATGATTAACTTAAGGCGAAATTTCTCAATTCAGGAACCTCCAATAATCTCGGACCTTTCTGCTGACTCTAAGGACCCATTCAAGGAACACTATGACAACGAAATGGCTATCCTCAACCGGGCCTACCCAAAATTGGGAAACAGGGCTGCTGACGTAAGTGACATTTTTTCGGCGTACCCTTGTAAACGCATGTGGATCTTCATGACGCCGTTTACATCCCATTTGGTTCAATAACGTTCCTGTGTTCGGGTCTCGCAGAATGCGAAGAGATGCGAGTACCAAAGGGAATACATTCGTGATCTGAAGGCATGCATCAATGATGCGGTAATATCGTACAAGTTGAAGCTGATCGCAGGTAAGCAAGCATTTAAAGTTTATCTCGTGTTTTATTTCGTGTTTCCTATACTGTCACTATACTGACTGACTTTTTTCGCAGAGGCCAAGCTTGAAGAAGAGAGTCAACTGAGGCATAGTGCAGAGGAAAGTTTGTCGGTAAGTAAAACCCTGTAAAGCCCGTGCTTTGTCGCGTTCCACCTCAACAATGAGTTATGCTCATGTGTTATGTTTCTGGATCAAGCAGGTGTGGAAGCAAGAGGCAGAGAAGCTTGCGGGTTCTGAAGTGGAGTTGAAAGCTCGACTGGAAGATGCTGACAAAAAAATCTGCAAAATTTCGGGCGAGGGTACGTTTTCGTATGGTATTGTTGTGTTCATTCTTCACCACCAGCAGCTCAACTCGTATTAACGTCGTTAATCTCGTTCGTGTATTCTCAGCCGCACAGTTGAAGGCGACCTGTGAGAACCTCCAAACTGAAAATGGTCAGCTTGCGAAGAGGTGCAGTGACATTGCAATCGAAAAAGGCGCGCTAAGTGAGGTATTGAAATCATAAATTTTTTCTTCCATTCACCAGTTTCTGAACTGCAGCTTACACACGCATCCTTAATGTGTTCTTGCAGGACGTTGAACGGAAGGAGAAAGACCTTCTTGACTTAACCATGGACCGTGATGAAAAGGTCAAGGAACTTGGTCTGCTTCGTGCTGGCAAATTGGAGCTCGAGCGTTCCGTGGATACCTTGAAGCTTTCTATGCAAAGCGCCAACGAGAGGTTGGAAGAGGTACGTGTAAAACGTTTTGGACCGTCTATGCTCTTTGACCTCTTTCTGACTCATGCCCTGGTTACGCGCTGCAGGTGAAATCAAGGCTTCTGGATTCTGAAAAGCTTCTCCAGGACAAAACGAAGGAACTGTTTGACCTGAACGTGGTAGCTGCCACACTGAGGTCCGCAGCCGACGAAAGGTCGGCAGCCACCGAGAAAGTGCACTCCATGATGCAGGATCAGGTATCTGATGCAGCTCCTTTCTATGATAGTTGATTGTTGGTTGATACACGAGCATTAAGTACCACGTCTGTGCGGACCAACCTTTGCAGATTGAAAAACTCACGAAGGAACAGGAGGAAAATAAGAAGGCCATCGACTTTCAACGGGTACGTCACTTGACCTGTACCTTTCTACGCTTTTCCGTAAATCAACTACTGATCTTGCGTGTCTCAACGCAGAATCTGATCGGTCAACTGACTGGGGAGGTTACTGCGAGGAGAGTGGAAGTGGATCAGAAGGAAGTCGAGTTAAAGAATCTGGAGGTATGCATTCACTTCAGTTGATGCTCTGAATGAGACAGGTCGGTCGCCATCTCATTATGCGTCTGGCTCTCTCGTCTTGTGCAGGGGATATCACAGAGTGAATGTGATCTCAAGGCAGAGATCACAAGGCTCAGGCGCGAGTTGGCTGAGAGGGAGCAGCTTTTCCGTAAGAAGGATCTCCTGCTGCAAGAGATGGAAAAGCGAATGAAAGTCCTCCACAACCGGCTCATGGTATGGTTCTTGCTGTTTTCACAAGCTTTTTCTATTGCTTCGATCCATCTGAGGCTCACTAAAGTTTCTGTGCGGCTGCAGTTGATGAAAGGGAACATTAGGGTGTTTTGCCGTGTTCGTCCCCTGAGTGCGAAGGAATGTGAAAGGAATCCTGCTGCTATGGCCGTACGGATTCCCGAGAACAACATTGACAACAAGATCGCGGTTCAAGGTAGGCCACTTCTCTTTAGCACCAAGTCTCTTCAAGGTAACCTCTTCGCGTCATAAGTCTATTTTTCTGACATCAAATCCTTCATGGCTGATCAGGGCATGAAGGAGATTTCAAGTTCGACAAAGTTTTTCCGCCTGATACGACTCAGACAGTCGTGTTTGAAGAGATCGCTGATCTGGTTACTAGCGCATTGGATGGCTATAAGGTAAGAAGCGGGAATGTGGTTAACCTGTCCGTCAGTCAAGAACCTCCTGACCCAATCTTCATGGTGTTTTTTTTCAGGTGTGCATCTTTGCGTATGGCCAGACCGGCTCTGGGAAAACTTTTACCATGTTTGGGGACACCACAGACGAGACACTTCGTGGAGTTATTCCAAGATCTATGCAGCAGATATTTCTGGTCAGCCGCGAAAAGTTCACCATGGGCTGGGAATACACCATTCAGGTGCGCCTATGCATCTCTTGTTTTTCGTGGTTCTGTGCAACGTCCAGCAACTGAACGTTAATTTCTTGGATCCTGCAGGTCTCCCTCCTCGAGATCCACAACGAGGCGATCCGTGACCTGTTGAAAGGATTCCACAACGATGAAGAGGCTGCAAGCTCGAAGCCTGAGAAGGGAAGTGCGGCGGCCAAAAAGGCAGAGCTTTCTCTCTACAACATCATTCACGAGAAGGATGGCAGTACAACAGTGCTTGGCCTCAAAGTAGTCACCGTGCAGTCTGTGGAGGATGCAGCTGAGGTTTTCGCTTATGCACACAAGAAGAGGTATGGATGATGAAAGCTTGCTTGCCGATTTTGCACTCCTGTTCAAGGAAGATGTAAGTTGATATTCTTTTTTTGCAGGTCTGTTGGAAGGACAGACATGAACGAGGAGTCGTCACGTAGTCATGCGGTCTTCACCCTCAGGCTGAATGGCAGAAATCGGGTGAGTGCTTAATGTAACTCAAGTCTTGCAGCACGTTTGGGTAAAACTTGTGACAGTTTCTAAGACTTACACCTCAATTCCCTATCAGGACACTGGAGAGACGACACATGGCATCCTCAACTTGATTGATCTGGCAGGAAGTGAAAGACTTAAGAAGTCGAATGCAACGGGATCGACACGGACAGAGTCCATCGTAAGCAAGTCCTTTTTGTTGACAGATCTCAATCTTGTCACCTTACCGCCACTTTTTATCTCCCTGTTCATCCTCTTACCCCCCTCGGATGATGTGTATTTGTAATTATACGATTCTCCTGCCATATGCCACACCCACCTTCAGGCGATCAACAAGAGTTTGAGCTCCCTGTCCCACGTCCTAGAGGCAAGAGCTAAGGGGGAGCTGCCACGCTACCGTGATGGGAAGTTGACCTACCTGCTCCAGGTATTGTCTTGAGGCTTTGTACTCCAAAGCATGTGGTGTTCCAAATCTATCTCCTAATGCGTATCACTGACCCTGCAGAAATCAATCGAGAAGGAGTCAAGGACCCTCATGTTCCTCAACATATCACCGGACTGCTCATCAACTGATGAGACCTTGGGGTCACTCAAGTTTGGTGCGATGGTCAATTCGTGTGACCTTGGAGTTGCAAGCCGGGACATTCGAAGTGTGGATTCTGAAGCTGAGGAACGACAGAGGCGCAGCAGCACCGGCATTAACCATGGTGGCAAGAAGAATGGCTAGTTCGTGCTCAGCCATTTCAAGCGGTCACTGCAGCACATCAGCTATGTGCATTATCTTGATGCCTGACAGAGTCACCAAGCTTTTAGAAGCTGTTAGGAGGGTATATCTTTCACATTATGCTAACCTTTAGACTGCTGGAGATCCGAACCTCAGTAACTAGGATCTGAATAAGAGGTAACATGACAAATAGTTGCTGCAGAAATAAATTATTTTCTGCCCAGCTTCGATCCAAACCCGTGCACAGCCACATAGGCAAGTACTGTAAATCAATTTCCAAGTCCCCGCACTTGAAAACCACTCGCAGATTATGTAGTAAGCATCAGCTAACAAGCACATTTCGTTACAATGAGTAGACAACCTATCAATTCATGATAGCCATGGAAAAACTTTAGGCGATGATGGGAGCCGAGCTGTAAGAACCTCACACCCTGTTTCTGTCACCTGGACCATTGGCCAAAAGTGTCGGGGAGTAGGAGAGGAGAGGTACGATGGTTTTGAAAGAAACAAAACGCTTTAATTCAATGCCAACACTAAGTGAATGCATTCACAAAACGTTCCCGCTAAGTGCTTGCCCTTCATGGTAGATCCACATGCAAGTCACAAAAGGTCAGCTCACCAGCATGGTGTGCTCAAACTGTGCACTTGGTGAGCCATCAGATGTAACTGCTGTCCATCCATCCGGCCACATGCGATCCTTCCATCCACCTAAGTACACAGAGAGGAGGGAGTGAAGGGGAGGAAGAGAGGGAGGGAGGGAGGGAGGGAGGGAGGGAGGGAGGGAGGGAGGGAGGGAGGGAGGGAGGGAGGGAGGGAGGGAGGGAGGGAGGGAGGGAGGGAGAGGGAGGGAGGGAAAGAGTGTTGCAATGCTTACAACGAAGTATCGAGTACGATCATGTGACCTCTTGAAAAATAGCGGACATACCCGCATTGATCATGGGCTCGATGGTGAAAATCTGGCCCGCTTTCATGAGACCCACGGCCTTGTTCTCTGCACGTACCGCAATGTAGGGACACATATGGCAATGAATGCTCACATATAGCAATAAATGCTCACATATAGCGATGAATGCTCACACGTGGCAATGAATGCACACATATGATGTAAGATGCATGAGGCATGAGGTACGCAGGATGGGTCACTCACTGGCGTAGTGGGGAATGTTGGGCGCACAGTGAAATAGCTCTCCTATGCCGTGCCCACAGTACGTACGCACCTGACAACAAGCAAGACACACACACAATAGGCAAGACACACACAAGAACAACACAAAAACAGGAGACAAGACAATCGCGATAGACAGAACGCTGGTCACTGCTCACAGCTACTTTTATGAGCATTCCTCACTTCGCCTCACTGGTCATGCCCTTGCATGCTGCTGCTGTGCTTTATACAAGTGACCGCTGGGGTAACACGGAAACACACGTCGAATTGTTAAGGAAACAAACAAGCAAGCGCACGCCTGCAAGGGAGGAGGGGTGTGGTGGGAGCAAGTCCTGTATAGGTGATTCTTAGCGTGTGCCCACTCGTGCATCCACATGCGTGTGCGTGCTGCTGTCGCATTTGAACGAGCATTCACTGCAATTCCACTGCAGCAGCCAGCTGCCTTTTACAGCCTCAGTTACGGCCTATGCTTGCTGCTGCTGCTGCTGCTGCAGCAGCAGCAGCAGCAGCAGCAGCAGCGGCGGAAAAGGAGCGGTGACAGTGGCGAGACTGACCACGGAGAGACCAGCTTGAGCGGCATGGCGACTGATCACCTCCCCCACCTCCCGAAACCGCACCCCTGGCTTCACTGCAGGATAAAAAAAAGTGGGATGTGGTGGCGCGGAGGCATGGGAGGGGGAGGAGAGGCGGAGGGAGGAGGGAGGGAGGAAGCGGTGGGGAGGGAAAGGGGAGAAGGGATGACAGGAGAATGGACGAGAGTGGGTGGGAGAGGGTATGTGGCAGGAGGGATAAGGGATGGCATCATGGCATTAAGGGGGTGATGATGTGATATCAGGGATGGAAAACGAAGAAAGGGGCATCTGGGTGGCCTGATTCAGTGCGTGCGTGGCGTTGGTGTGCTTGCATGTGGGCATTTGAGTGAGAGTGAGTGAGCTATGCATGAGTGCAGGAGGGCCACTGGAGAAGAGGGAGAAACAGCACACGTACACACACACACGCACGCGTGCATGCGTGCCCACCCACCCACACACACGCAAGCGCGCGCGCACACGCACAGACACGCACGCACACCGCACACGTGCGCTCGCACACACACACAAACAGATACACACACACACACACACACACGCAAAAAGATACACACACACACACACACACACACACACAAACAGATACACACACACACACACACACACACACACACACACACACACACACACACACACACACACACACACACACAGACAATAAGGTGGTTGTTGCATACCCATGGCAATGGCCTTATCAAGGCACTCCATAGTGGTGCGCACGAGATGTACGGACGCATCACTGGGCGTGCCCACAAAGAAGGTCTCGTTCAAATCACCTGCCATGCCCCCATGCCCCGTGCACCATGCCCCGTGCACCATGCCCCGTGCACCATGCCCCTTGCACCATGCCCCACACACCATGCCCCACACACCATGCCCCACACACCATGCCCCACACACCATGCCCCACACACCATGCGCCATACACCATGCCCTGTGCACTATGTGCCATACACAATGTGCCATGCCCCATGCCCCATGTATTGTGCGCAATGTTCGATGCCCATCCACATGCACCATGCGCCATCCACAGAGAACAATGCACATAATTCAAAACAAGAGCCCATGAGACACAAAAGAGTGACAATGAGCAACTGCGAGACAACGCGCTGCCACACCATGACCATCAGGGACCATCATGCCACATCATGACACATCATGACATGACACATCATGCTTCGCTGGAATATCCACTTGGGCAGTACAGCATGGAATAGGGAACGAGTTTCAGAGGCCTCGACAAGGGAATGTGGGAGCAGGAGGAAGGGAAGGGGGGAGGAAGGGGGGATGGGAGGAACGTAGGTAGGGCAGGCAGGCGGGCAGGCAGGCGGGAAGACGGGTGGATGATGGGTGGGTGGGAGGGAGGGCGGGCGGAATGGCATGGCACCATGGCAGCCGTTGAGGTAGACAGTGACGTCCACGTTCACAATATCACCGTCCTCCAGCTTCCTGCATGCACCATGCACCGGGAGAGTGCGGATGGGTTGAGAGCGGTTGAGACGTGGTGCTGGGAGGTGAGGCGTGGTGGCCATCGTACGATACGATGCGTGGGTGAATGGGGGTGAGGGAGTGAGGATGAGACATCTCCGCTACATGGGTGAAAAACACAAGATCAAACACCATGCCATGGAATGAAACCACATCACATGACATGGCAAGGCAAGGCAAGGAACGGAAGAGTATGATGAGGCATGGCATGTGCTTGCCTGCAGTCTGGGATTCCATGGCACACCACCTCGTTCACCGACCTGCACACCAGCACCACAGGGGGGACAGGATAAGGGGCGCGGATGGCGGGGCATGTGGTGGGCGGAACGGCAGTGGGGGATAGAGAGCATGCAAGAGAGGGGTTAGACGGACGACAGAGCAACACCATGGGAGCTCAGGAAATCATGCTTGCTTCTGGTTCTTGTCTACGAGTTCTGCTTGCTTCCTAATCCCCGAAAATTTCCTCCCTCTCTGTACCTGCACTCGCTCCCGCTCCCTCCAATCTCTATCCATCGTACAAAAACGCATACACAAACACTTGCGAGCACGGGCATACACCACCACACTCGCGTGCATGTCCCGGAGAGGATCATATCCCATGAGGCATCGGAGCAAGGGAGCACGTAAGAGGGAGCACGTACGTGCAGCAGGACTTGGGAAAGAAGTAGTAATTGAGCGGCGACGGGTACCCGCCTGCACACACCAGGCCGCACAGGCAGGGAGGCAGTGGAGGCACGGGGGAGGAAACGGATTTGAGACGCCTCAGAAGCAGTAATAAAAGCGGGATTTTCTTTAATGCCACAAAAGTAGACGACCCGTGAGAAGTAGTAGGTGAGGTGATGTATAAGATGGGTGTGACTTGCAATTCTCCTTCCCCCTGCATCTTCTCGAGTCGACTCAAAAAGCAGCAATCGCCTGCCCTTGCTTGCAGATTCCTACTTACTGGTCAACTATCTACACCACGCCATGCCACACCACACAGCACCACACCCCACCGCACCACACTGCACCGCACACCGCCCCATGACAACAAGCGGCCTTGCCCGTGAGTCCCACCGGCCTTGATGGTGGCGTCATGCACGGCGCGGTCGATCTCGTCTGTGGTGACCCCCGGGCGGATCATGGCTGCTGCCACGTCCAACACCTCTCGTGCCACCTGTGCGCACACGCAGGGGCAGGCGTGCAGCAGGGGCATGGGGGAGAGGCATGGGGGAGGGGCAGCGGAGGGGGCATGGGTCGGAAGCAGTCAGAGGGGTAAGGGGCAGTCAGAAGCAGGACGGTAGGGGTCGGGTTTGGAGGCGGTTGGTGAGAGGGAGTAGGATGCAATAGCGTGTGTGAGGTTGCGAGTGTACAGGGGCATGTTGGAAACGACTCACAACTTGCAAGAGTGCGTGTGAAGGAGTGCGTGGGAGTTGGCAAGGAGAAACAAGAACGGGGCAGGGAGTTTACATGGACTTACCTTGCATGTATGCCGCATTCGTGCTATTTGCTCTGGCGACTTGATCTGCATACACATAGGCGCGCCGCGCACACACGGGCACACACACGGGCACACACACGGGCACACACACGGGCACACACACCAACCGGCGCACGTTGACTTTAGGGAGGAGAGAAGTGTGGGCAAGAGAATGGGATGAGAGAGGAGTGGACAGAACTGAGAAGGGGCAGCATCCAGTAACGAGGCAACCGAGTAAGGGCCGGCACATATGCGCGCAGGGTGGGGGGGGGCGCAAGGGGGTGATATCTTGAGGCGCGTAACGAATAGTGATGTGGGAAGAGTAAAGGGAGAAAAGGAGTGGGAGTGGAATAATGGCGCGATTGAGAACGACAGTGCTACGGGAGGGTAAGACACGGGGGGGGGAGAAGGGGGGGGGAAGGGAGAGGGAAGGGGGGAGGGAGGACGGAGGGAGAGGGGGAGGGAGAGGGGGAGGAAGATGGGAGAGGGAGGAGAAGGGGAAGGGGAGGGGGAGGGAGAAGGGTAGGGGGGGAGGCAAGTCACCTCGACGCTGTTTTGCCATTGGCTGTTGGGCTCCTCCTCAGGCCGCCCCTGGGAAGCGCAAAAGAGAGAGACGGGGGGGTTTCAAAGAGGAGGGAGTGCAGGTCAGAGGGTGGGGAGCGAGTGGGTGGGGGGCGGTCAAGAGAGAGGGAGTGATTGCACGGACGGATGCAAGCAAGTGAAAAGCAGGTGAGAGACAGGTGTCATTGTGAGTGGCGGGCGGGATTGATCAAACGCGTGGTGGGGAGAGGGAGGTAGTGCGGGCAGGGCAAGTGGTGCAAGGCAACGCATGGCACGCCCCGGCAGGCTGCCAGGTGCACGCACTTGGGGCGTGCGATATTCAACATAGGATATGAGCATGGGCATGGGCATGGGCATGGGCATGGGCATGGGCATGAGCGGCAGCACTCACAGTGTCGGCCCAGTCAGGCCGCGGAATGTGGGCGGGCACAGGGCGCCGCGGCGCCACGGGGAAGGGGCGTAGAGGACTGGGGAAGGGGGAGGAACGGGGGGGGGGAGGGGAGAGAAGAAGGGCGAGCGGAGCAATGAAGGGGTGGCAGAATGGAAGGGGCGTTGGGGAGGTGACGAAGAGCAGCAGGGGGTGAGAGGATTGGGCGGACGGGGAAAAGGAGCGGCGGAGTGGAGGAGTAGAAACGCGAGTGGAGGCTTCAATGGGGCGAGGAAGGGATGGTGACTGTAATGGGTCAGGGTTCAGACTGGTGCAAAGCGGTGCAGTGGGATGCGCTGTGGCATAGTGGCACGTCAAACCAGCTAGTGACTTCCCTCCGCCTTCCTCCTTTCTCGACCCCCTCCATATCTTCTCCTTCCGCAATTCCATCCCCCATCCTCCCCACTCCCCTGTAGCCCACCACCAGCTCGGTCTGCACCTCCCCCCATCCCGCCACACCCCGCCGTATATTCCATCCAACCCAAGCAACAGTCTCTCCCACTTTCGCAATTTCGCCAAGCCTCCTTAACCTCGACTACTAAACCGGCACCCCTTAAACCCTGAATCCCGGGAAATCCCAAGGATGTAATCCCTAGCCAGTGCGTCGCGGCTCTCGCGCGCGGGGCGCTCACCCGGTCCAGTCGAAGGGGGGCATCTTAGCGGCGCGCGTCTGCCCCTTGCGCAGCACGTACAGCCACCCCTGCTGCAGGAACGGCGCCACTTCATACCCCTCCCCCGCGCCCGCTGCTACCACCGCGACGGCGCCCGCACCCGCGCCTTTCCCCGCGGGCGGCACCTTGTGCAGCACCTTGTGGTCCGCCCACGACGCCTTGAAGCACTCCTGCGAGCTGCGGGGGACGACGGGGGGAGCGCGAGGGGAAAGGGGAACGGGGGAAGGGGGGAACGAAGCGGAGGGCAGGTACAAAACCCTGAAACCTGGCTGGGGCTCGATGCGGCAGTGGCAGCAGCAGCCGTGCGCCATGCGGTATGACTCCACATCTAGTTTCAAGTCCACTCAAACGCGCGACTTCCACTGGCGCTCTCCTCCTCCCCTCGCCCTCCTCTTCCAACGCTTTTGTGAAGGAGATCCACCCTTCCCCCACCATCCCCCACGCCTCCCCCCTCTTTCCCACCCCATTTTTAATTTCCCCCCTTCATCCAGCTCCCATCCGTTGCCTTCTCCCCCTTTCCCCCTTCACCCCTACCCCCTTCGTGTTCCCCCTCCTAGCCTGCCTCCCTCACGGCGTACCAGAAAGAGGCGTTGGTGCGCGGAAGCTTCAGCTCCAGGCACTTGGGACACCTGGCGGAAGGGCGCACGAGCAAAACGCGCACGGGGAAAACGCGCAAGGGGGAAACGGCGGGTACGGGAACAGCGCATGGGGAAAAAGGGCGAAACGGAAGGGTCGAACTGACCGCGGAAGGGAAGGGTGGGAGACGCGGGATAGCATGAGGTGTGCGGAAACGATTTCAGGATGACAGAGGGGGAAGGGGCGACAACGGGGTTGTTTAGGGTTGGCAAACGGATGATCGGGTTAGAATTGCGGCGGGAAACTCATATTCCGCCTATTCGACTGCGCGCAAACTCACTCCAGCCGCGCAGCTCATCGTCCGTCTATTGGACCACGCGCAAACTCACTGCAGGCGCGCGGGCTTGCTGCAGCGCAGACAGGCCAGCGATTCGATCGGCGCGGCGGCATCGCCGCTCCCATTCGCCTCGTCCATGCTGTGATGCCGATCAATCAGCGCGATGTGCGGACACTTGGTGAGACGGGACGTGACAAGAGCTGAGAGTGGGGGATGGAGGCGGGTGGTGAGAGAAGGGGCGGGGCGGAGAGGGCGACCGAAGAAACCTGAGGTGGAGCGGAATGGAAGAGTTGGTGTTGCGACAACAGAGGGAGGTCAAGTTGTTACGCGTAAATTGTAGTCTCAAAGCGAGGTGCTTATAATATTTCGGAAATGAATTTGATGAGCCATCACATTGTCAAAAGCTGGCACTAATATTCCATACAGCTACATAGATACCAATAACTTGAAAAAAAATCAAACTATATACATTATGCACATATGAACACAAAAGTGTACCACAATTGGCCTCCTATCCTCCAGAAGTGCACGGTCTTCTTCTGAAAACCGTGCAGCACACACAAAGCTGCTCCATTCCACCCTTTTACTCCCACCCATCACCACCTCACAGACCCTTCTATTTCTCAACCCCATTGTCTTTGTTCTACAAGCTCATCCCGTGAATAAGACTCCCTAGAAATTGGGGAAGTCATTGGGGTTGAAGCCAGTGGCGTGGTGCAGCAGCGCATTGACGGGCGGCAGCATGGGCTCATAGATGTCAGTGCGCGTGACAATGCCCACCACCACCCCATGGTCGTCCACCACTGGCAGCCGGTGCACCTGCACTCACAGGACAGGCACATTGGGCATTCAATGACACCATGGGACAGACATGCATGGGGAGAGGGGGGTTGGGCGATGCGTTTGGTCGTTGGCAGTGTGCTTTGTAAGGGGAAGGCAACAAGAGAGTCATGTAATCAGTGAACTAGACTGCAATGAGTAGGCCAAGGCAGATGGTGGAGGACGGTCGAGCGTAACAGAGCGAGAGGGATTGAGAGAGGAACAGAGGAATAGGAAGTGAGGGAGAGAGGGATATAAAGGAATAGAGAAATTGTAATGCAGGGAGGGAAATGAGAAAGGAGGGATAGGAACTGGGAGGAGAGGCAGGTGGCATTGCGGTTTCTTTCCAAGTTTTTGGGGAGGAAGGGATGCGTGGTGAGCAGTACCTTGTGTTTGAGCATGAGCCCTGCTGCATACGCCACAGGGGCGTGTTGCACTATCACAATGGCTGGCGCACTCATGACGTCACTGCACGCACGCACAGCATGTGAAACGACAGCAGAACAAGCGTAAAGTTAGTACAATGTTAAGGTGAGGTATAGAACCAGGCTTGCCCAGCACGTCTACTCTCAGAGCCTACTCCCCACCCAGCTCTAACAAAATCCCGAACACACGAAACGAACACAAGAGGAAGACAACAGGGAGTAATGTTGGGCCTTTCGCCATCAGAACTCTTGGGTGCCACAGGGCGATCGGCTCAGCTACCAGCAACACCCCTGCACAGCAAGGCTACGCCCCTCAAAAGTCCAACATGCACACTTGTGCCAACTCACAACCCACTCACAAGCACACTAGTGCGCTTGCACTCGAGCTCTCCACTGGGGCACACGCACACACACCCCGCCCTGCTCTCTCACCCCACAGTCACTTCCGCCGCGCTCCTCGCGAGAGCCCCCTTCTGGCATCTCGCCACGTCCATGTCCGACACGATGCCCACGCAGTGCCCCTCGCCGTCCACCACGGGCAGCCCCGTGAAATGTTCAAAGTGCCCGAGGATCTCCGTCAGCGGAGCAGTGGTTCCTGTGGTAACTGGCTGCAGGCAGCAACAGGACGGAGAATGGAGAGGAGAGGGCGAAAAATGGTGAGATTCAGAAGCTGGAAAGAACCCGACCATTTGAAGACTCACGAGAAGAACGCGAGGAAGGAATAAGGGCGGTGAGCGGGACAGAGGACACACGGACGAGCCGTAGAGGGGCGGTAAAGGAGGCTCGTGAAGGAACTGTTGTGAAAGATGTCAGCTCTAAAAAAAGGTGCGCTCCGAATTTAGAAACGACGGAGAGAGGATATTGATCGACTACACCATGCGACACGACACGAACAGCGACAGGGACGGGGAGGGCGACAGTAAGGAACGGATCAATCATATAAATTATTCATGCATTCCGTTCATTGCGGTTTCGGCGCGGACCGTCTGGCGCGTGTGTGTCAGCAGCAGCGCGGTGGGATACGTACGCATGGCGTCATGGCGGACTCGACGGGCGCGTACGGGCTCTCCATCAGTCGCTCTGACCGGTCCACTGCACGACGCTCCTCCCGCTCCCGCTCCCTCACTGCCGTCGACTCCGCCATCACGCCATTACCCCGTCCGACCGCGATGCACGCAGACGCGCTCACGACCTGACGAAGGCCGGCGGGAAATCCTCGATTTCTCTTTTGGAAGGCCCAGCGCGGCGGAGAGAGGCGGATGCGCGCATGCGGAACTGCGCGCTCGTGTGCGGGGAAGCGGCGGAGGGCAGCGGGAAAGCAGGGTTGGATCGTGCGTAACGCATTGCTGGTGATTGAAGTCGATGCCATGGCCGTGCACTACTAGTAATAGCTGGTCGCACTCCCACGAGCTTTGTCTGGATCCCAGCGTCTCAGCGATGTTGATTGAAGTTTCCAAGACAACCGGCGGAGCTGGTTTCGTGAGTTCCGTGATTTGTCGCAAGTTTTTTCTCAAACAGCAGCCTTTTAACGATATCGTCGCAACTTATGTCCGCGCAACTCGTTTATGTGTCAGGAACGTAGGAACGCAAGGCCAAAACGAGGATTCTGACGACCAATATCAATTGTTATTGCGGGTGGAGGCAAACACAAGTTCCTACTCCTTCCAAGTCGGCGTAGTGGCTTTGTAGCAAATGTGGTAGCTTTGCGCAAGGAAATTGGCGCCACGAAATTGGCAGGGGAAGGAATTGAGCAGGCTGGCAAGGGGATGAGGTTGCTTGCTGGGTTTGGGGTGGGGGGATGGGAGTTGGGTTGGGAGGGAGTGTGAGAGGGAGGGGACGGGATGAGGGGCCTTCTCCCTCTCCTCCCTTGTTCCTATACTGTACCCCACAACCCCCACTCTCGACTCGCGAGTCACCGACACGCAAATCTACGCTCCTATTTGCAGGAGGAGTTTCAGGCTGCATGTGCACCCGTAGCGCGTTTGGCAGCCACAAGATGGCACCACCTTGACCACGTGCGGTAGAGCCACGCAGCAGTCCGACGTGGAAAAGCTAAAGGAACAGCAGCGATGACCTGTTTATACGTGTTTACAGGCAGAGGGGCACGTGACTCGCGGAAGTCCACGCTGTCTGAACTTCAGAATAATACAGTAGGTGGGATGCAATACAGTGAATAGCACGCAGTGCATTGACCATCTAAGGTATCAAGGTTAAACTAATTATATAATCAAATATAGTGTGAATGCGTGCTTGCATGATTCAAACAACAAATATGGGATGTATACATCTGATGGCCTTCATAAGTTTTATTATATCAATAAAATTGGAAATATTCATTGCTACCTTCAGTGCTATCTATACCAATGCACCTTGCAAAATGGATGCTTCTAAGTCTATTTGTAAGGAATACTTCTCATATCTTACTGTCATGTATTCATACTGCCACTATTCTCGAGAATCACATCTCGGCGGAGTATCTGCGCTCCCAACCAAAGGTGGGCCTTGTTTGACGGAGGGGCGAATTTGACGCAACCTGAATTGAGGATGCAAGGGGTCCACTTTCTTTATTGGCTGGTCGACCCAAAGAAGCCATACCATTCGTCGATTTTCTTTCCCAGGCGGTCCCCCAATTGCCCCGTCTTGTGGCGAGGCGAAGCTCGTTGGCTCGTTGCCCAGCCCGCACGGCACGATTCGTTTTGTTTCAGTCTGTATATTTTCAAATATCGGAGTCGTCCCACTGATACGTCACCTCCTGAAAACACACCTGGCGCGAATTCCACTTCAAGCTGAGCAGGTTGCGGCGGTCAGCACCATTCCACTCCAGTCGAGCCTTATTGAATTGAAATTGCATTCCATCGCTGCGAGGAGATTTGCTTTTGCAGTGCCCTACAGTGCCACCTGGGACTGGGTCTGTTCACCGCCTGCCCGTCAACTCCGCAGGGGACACCCCGCCTCCTGCGGGAATGAGGCAGGGTCCCCGCTCCCTGCGCTAATTTCTCCAATCCCACTGTTGAACAAAATTTCTTTTTTTCGCTGCGGTGGCGCCTCTTCTGCTAGGTCGGTCCGCAAGCAACAAGAAAAACCTGCTGTGATTGGCTTGGTTGACTCCACCCTGACCGTCAAGTTCGCCCTTGCCATGAGCTTGGCCAGATTGCTTTGTCGGCACAGCGCAGCACATCACAAGCATGCGCCCTTCTCGGTCCCTCCTGCCCTCGATCGACGCTTCTCTCGTATCACAGTCACCACCCTCCCGCCAAGTGCAAACACTCACTCACAAACCCATTCCCGCCCACTCTGGACAAGCAGAGGTTGAGTAAGCAAGAAACTTAATCAACGCCTCATGCGGCGTGTATTCGCTTCCGTCTTCCTCGCCTGTCCCGCCGCCAGTCTCTCCTACGTTCAACGGCATACAGTGCCTGCCTTTCTCTCCGTCACCTTTTGCTGCCCCTTATTTTCTTCCTCGCATCGTGTCTCATTCGCTGCGCTTCCCTCGCATCTCCACCTCGTCTCGAGCGAGTACTGTATACCTGCTTCAGTCTGTCGCCCCGTCCCATCTGTCGGCTAGTTTTAAGTCATCTCACTACTTGTTCAATCTCGAGAACACCATTTTCGGCCTGGCGTTTCCTGTCCCACCCCTTGTATTTAGTCGGCCCGTCTGCCTGCCCTGCTGTACTCAGCGCGTGCAATTCTTACCAGCTCAACCCTCACGACTCAGCTCCCGGAACTAGTTGTCTCTCCTGATTCGAAACGCAAAACTCCGTTGATGAAGGGAGGCCCAATCGGGGCTAAACACAATGGCGGGATTCTTAGAAAGGCTTCACTTTAACCAAGAACGCCCGTAGTACGTCTCCTCGCTAGTTCTCTCCTCCTCCGCGTCGGTAGTCCGTCAGTGGTCCGTCAATAGTCCTTCGTTAGGGGTATTTTCCCAGTCCTTCTATTCCCTGGCCCACCTTGTGTATCAGACTGCAAATTCAGCCCCCAACCTGTTAGAGTATCACCTGAAGGTCGGACAACAGCCGCTCATGGGCCTAAGTGTAGGAACCGTAGCTGCCGCACGCGCGCCGCTCGTTAGACCTTCCAACGCAGATCCGCTGAGCGCACCCCGCACCTCGCCTCCCCTGTCCCGCGCCGCGCGTGCTCCAATGGCGGGCGCCTCGAGAAGAGCCTGTTCCGCGCCGAGCTCCAAGGGCCGACCAAGACCGGCGCGTGTGTGCGGCTTGGCGTCGCGGTCGCCGTCCCCAATGGCGCCGCTCCTCCTCTCCCTCCTCGTCTTCTCGCTCTGCTGCTCCGTCGCTCACTCCCAGTCGCGTACGCCTTCCGTTCGAACATCACGTTCATAATTTTTCGAATCCTTCATTCCTCCATTCATTGATTTCTTAGCTAGTTTAGGGATCCACCTTCGCGCAATTTGTTCGGGTTTCACACATGCGTGCTGCCTCCCAACGACTTGCACCCCCCGGTTCCGCCTCTTCTGGAATCAATCTTACCTGCTCGTCATCTCCCAACTACTCGCGCTCGCATTGTCCTCGTCGCTCTCACACCATGTCTTCCTCTCTTTCTCTCTCCCTCTTTCCCTCTTCCCCCTCGTTCCTCCCCCACCCTCCCGTCGCCGTCACCATCGGGTCATTCGCCAATCAGCGGCCTTCGTTCCCCGTCGCGCGCTCATCGACGTGCAAATGAGTGCGCCCCTTTCCCCCGCCTCTCGTCTTCTCCCCGCGCGCCATTTCGCCTCTCGTCTTCCCGCCGCTCGCTCCCCCTTCCCCCACTCCACTCGCTCCTGCTCTCGCATTCGGATCGCACTCGCCGCTGACACACTTCCACCTCTCGCCACTTGTTCCCTCACTTTTACTCCTTCTCACCCTCTGCAGCTTTTCTTAACCTCGTCTAGCCCTTCCCCACTTCTGCTCCCCACTTACCCCCCCCATTTGATCCCTCTCCGCGCCCTCCCCGCGCTGCCCCCACTCGTCGCCGCGCGCTGCAGGGGATCAGCTGATTCTCACGATCGTGGTGGGGTCGCTCATTGTACTGGCAGTCGCGATTCTCATCGGCCTCTTCGTGTTCTGGAAACCGGCTCCCCCTCCTCAAGGTATTGCCGATCTTCCTTTTCCACTCTTCAACTCTCACTCTCTATTTTTTTTGGTCGACTGAAAGATTGCGCTCCCACTCTCACTCTCTCCCTCGTACCCCCGTCCACGCGCCCTTCTGAATCCTTGTTTGCCGCGTTGAAACTTGAAGAAGTTTTCTCTCTGATTGTGCGTGTGTACCCGTTCGTGCGTGCGTGTCCCCACGCGGTGTTCGCCGTTGCGTGGCTCGGCGCGCTCTGCTCTGCAACGCCGGGCGCGCAATGCTCTGCTTCGCTCGGCGCGCTTTGCCCTGCTGTGCCCTGTCGGCGGCGCAGGCAAGTGGAAGCACCACGTGGACGGCCAGCAGAACAAGCCGCGGCGCGTGCTGCGCATCGGGTCGCAGAAGTACACCAGCAGCGCCGCCGACACCGACTTCTCGCTGCCATCGCTGCCCTTCAATGACATCCAGGTCGCTCTCCCCTCCGCTCCCCCTCCGCTCCCCCTCCGCTCCCCCTCCGCTCCGCTCCCCCCTCTGCTTCCGCCTTCGCTTCCCCAGCCTCCCCGCTTGTGCCGCCTAGCCCGTCTCTTCCGATTGGCTCCCTTGTCTGCATCCTTCCGCCTCGCCATACCTCACTTCTCGCTCCCCCCCTCCCCGCACCTGACCGCCTCCCTTCCGCGCTTCGCCCCTCACCCTCCCCTCTTCCCATTCCCCTCTCCCCTCCCCTCTTCCCCCGTCCCCGCGCGTCTCTCCCCCCTCCCCCCAGGTTGCGACGAACAACTTCGACGAGGCGGGGACGATCGAGGCGGCGGGGTACAGCAGCGTGCATCGCGGCGAGGGCCCCGACGGCCGCGCGTGGGCCGTGAAGCGCGCCAAGAAGGTCTCCATTGAGGGCTCGCACCTCTTCAAGAGCGAGGTGCGCTTCGACCTCGCGCCTTGATCGCGCCTCGTTCGGTTCTCGATCGCTCCTCGCGCTTCGGCTTGGTCGCACGTCGTCCGATCCACCAGTCCGCTCCCTTCCCTCCATCCCTGTTGCCTCTCTCCCTCCCGCACTTCCGCCGTCTCATCCCCCCTCCCCCATCCTTCCCCCCTGCTCACCCCCCCCTCCTCCCCCCGTGTCGCAGGTGGATTTTCTGTCGCAGGTGTCGCATCCGAATTTGCTGCAGCTGCTGGCGTTCTGCGACGACAACAACGAGCAGATCCTCGTCTTCCCCTTCATGGCCAACGGCGCGCTCAGCACCTGGCTCCGCCCCTCACCAGGTGCGCCCTTCTCCCCCGCCGCAACCGCCCTCCTTCCCCCCCACCCAGTCGTTATCCGCCGGGCCGCAGTCGTGTATCGGTCTCGCACCTCTTTCACCTGTCTTGCTCTACTCACTCGTCCGCCTGTCTTCGCCTCGTGCCGCTCTCCCCTTCTGTTCCGCTTCCCCCTCCGCTCACCTCCGCTTCCCCCCGCGCACCTCCGCTCCCCTCCGCTCCGTCAACAGACCAGCCGCGGCCGGCACTGACGTGGGAGCAGCGGCAGCGCATCGCGCAGGGCGTGGCGTTGGGGTTGCAGTACCTGCACTCGTTCAGCAACCCTACCATCATCCACCGCGACGTCAAGAGCGAGACCATCCTGCTCGACGAACAATTCGACGTGCGTCGCGCGCTCCACCCTTCTCGCGCTTTCCCACGCTCGTGTTCTCTCACTAAGGAACAGCACCACCCGTGCCGCGCGCTGCTGCTGCTGCTGCTGCTGCTGCTTCTCCCAGCCGCGCTGCTCGCTGCTGTGTTCCTTCGCTGCTGCTGCTGCGCGGATCTGACGCACTGCCCGCGATCCCCCCTCCCTCCCTCCTCAAAACCCATCTTCTCCTCCCTTGCCCCTCCTTTCCCCCTCTCCATCTCCCTCCCCCTCCCCCTCCCCCTCCCCCTCGGCCCTCTCCCCCGCGCCGCTCCCCCTTTCCCCCCGCGCGCAGGTGAAGGTGGGCGGGCTGGGGCTGCTGAAGCACCTGCCGGGGGAGGCGATGCGGCTGCGCATGGCGCGCAAGAAGGGGTACCTAGACCCCGAGTACTTCCAGACCTTCAAAGTCACCACCAAGTGCGACGTGTACAGGTGCGCCGCGAATGGGAGGGAGAGGCAGACAAAGGGGGGCGAGGCGCGGGGGGTGAGGGAGGGAGATGGGAGGGGGTTGGCCTCTACTGAATCACACCGCACGTGCACAAGTATGCCCAAATCCCTTGTCAGAATTCTCAAAAGTGACCTTTACTGCATGGCACCGTACATGCACTAGAATGCCCGCACTAACTGCGCGAATGCCTGTATGGGCATACATCAAAGTTCGACCTATATGGGCATACATCAAAGTTCGACCTATATGGGCTTACATTCCATGTGGAAGGAGACAGATTCCCCTGCCTTCGCTCACCTTCCCTCTCCCTCTCCCCCTCGTTCCCCCTCCGCCCATACACCACGCGCCCATGGCCCACACGCCAACGCGCGCAGCTTCGGCGTGGTGCTGCTGGAGCTGCTCACGGGGAAGCCGCCCATCCTCGTCGACCCGCACCAGGACGCGGCGCAGCAGGGGCAGGCGGTGGCGCAGAGCCAGAGCCAGAAGCAGCCGGGGAAGAACCGCCCGCCCACGCGCTTCTCCTCCCTGGGCTCCGCTCCGCGCCCCTCCGCCACTCCGCTGCTCACGCTGCCCCAATGGGTGCGCCTCCTCCCCGCCCCGTTCGCTCCCTTTCTCTGCCCTTTACATGTCATGCCGAATTCACTTGATGCTGGCCCCCCGCACCCTTTTCGCTCCCTCTCCAGCTCGCTTTCTCCCCCATTCCTCCCATCCCCCCCATCCCTTATAACCCCCCGCGCTGAGCATGATAGACGAGGAAAAAGCTCACCAGCTAATGGACCCACGTCTGGCCCACTACAATACGCTTTCCTCCCATCCCCCTTCCTTCCCCCGCCAGGCGCTGAGCATGATGGACGAGGGCAAGATACACCAGCTAGTGGACCCGCACCTGCTCTTACTGAAACAGTCTCATAACTCGTCTCCTCCCATCGCCTGCCAACCCCACCACTCCCCTCCCCACCAGGCGCTGAGCATGATAGACGAGGGCAAGATACACCAGCTAGTGGACCCGCACCTGCTCTTACTGAAACAGTCTCATAACTCGTCTCCTCCCATCGCCTGCCAACCCCACCACTCCCCTCCCCACCAGGCGCTGAGCATGATAGACGAGGGCAAGATACACCAGCTAGTGGACCCGCGTCTCCCGCAAGCCACGCCCGTCGAGGAGCTCCAGGCCTTCGCGCGCGTCGCCGCGTCCTGCGTGTCCCCCCTGCGGCGCGACCGCCCGGACATGCCGCGCGTGGTGGCGATGCTGCAGGACGCGTGCCGCACGGGCGCGCTGGTGCGCTTCACCTCGGGCAACTTCTCCCTCGTGCGCTCGCTCAGCATCCCCGACACCCCTGCCGCCTCTCTCAAGCCCAGCCCTTGATGCTGATGCTGGCGCCAGGCCAAGGGGAGAAGGGGACAAGGCTCTGCTCCTCTTGTTCTCAGCTCCTTGGAATGGAGAAGCCAGGCTGTTGACGATGTGGCGTGGCGCCCAGTGACGCTGATGAGCAAGCTCTCTTTGGCCCCACCCTCTCGAGTCGACTCAAAAGTCAGCAAGCTCTCTTTGGCCCCACCCTCTCTTTCTGCTTCTCTCTCGCCTTCTCTTTCTTTCCCTCTCACCCACCTCTCTCCCCTCCATCTCTCGCAATCTCCCCCCATCTCCTCCTCCTCTCTCCCGCTCTCCTCTTGTTCCGATTCCACAGCCTCCTGCTGATCCCTGAACAGTATTTCCTTGCAATGAAGACAACCCAATGCAGCACCACCGCCACACATAAGTGTCCATCCACCATCCCTAAACCCAAGCATGATCAGCTGCAGCCCCAAACCGCCCCGCCATGCACCCCATCGCATACTCACCAGCTCAACTCCCCTCCCCACCTTGAGTTGTGCACCCACTAAACTAAGATCAAGCCCCATGTCAACCTGCCAGCGCAGCACCACATGTTTTCAGCCCTCCCACACCCCAGCATCACACACCCCTTACACCCACCCCATGCATATTCTCCTCCTCACACACCTCCCACCTAGCCATTTATCCCCCAACCCCTCCCCACTCCCCAAGCCCCTTCCCACCTCTCAAGCCTCCTCATAAGCATCCGCCTGGCATATCTCCACATAAGCTCCCCCCTCCACACCATTGCTCTTCCTCACCACCTCCTTACCGGTACCTCTTTCGAATCTCACCACCTTACAATGGCCTACCTCCCTCATGCCTTCCATGCGGTAGGCAACCCCTGGCTTGCTCTGCTCTCAGGTTACTCATTTGTACCTGGTGGGGACAGACGAAAGCCTTTCTTTGCATGTATGCTGCTGCTCCCTACCTCTTTGTACCAGTTAGCTCTCTGCGTTGCCATGCCCTAGTAATGTTGTGCTAATAAACTGCTGTCTGTATGGTTGGGTCGTTGTAATCAGTGCCACGTATTATGTATTGAATGACAACTTGCTGGAAGTCTACTTATTTTCAACTACTGTACCCTGTTGCTGGAATCCTGGAGTACGAGGAATGACTGTATGGTATAGTATGTGCCTAGTGTTAAACTGGACATTTATTTACGCATAACAGGGGGTGGCAGATTGTCAAGAATTAAAGTGTTGGTTCATTGATGTGGGTCGGGGTACATATAACAAACCCTAAATTCTGTACCCCCTAAAACAAACCTCACTACAGGCTACAACATTTGACACACCCCCATAGCCTAAGTGAGGGGTGTCAAGCAAAACCAAAAGTGTACGGTCACAAGACCAGTCACGAAGAAACAAAGCTCATGGTGGATCACAACGTCACCACACACTCTGAGCACAAACAACAGGGGCCACAAGGCCAGTTTGAGAGTTCACAAGCGTATATAGCAAGAGTACAAGCAAAGCAAACAGTAGACTCAAGCCTATACACGACTAGAAACTGTGTCAACAATGCCTAACTGCACACAACACCTCTGGTGGTCACAAGGCAGAAGCGCCTTGGTGAAGATGTCTGCAGTGTTGGCCTCGGACTCCACAAACTCGAAGCGAGCCTGTCCACGTCTCTGCAACTCTCGCAGAAGAAAGTACCTAACGTTAATGTGCTTCACTCTGCTCTCCAGTCGCGGCTCTCGACAAAGGAGAATCGACGCCTTGTTGTCAGTGAACAAGGTCGGTGCAGAGCTCGGCCGCTCACCAAGGTCGGCGAGCAAGAAGGTCAACCAACGCAACTCCTATGCCGCCATGGCACCAGCGTAGATCTCAGCCTCAGCTGTAGAGGTCGAGACCGAAGAGGAGCGCGTGGACCACCACCAAACAGCTCCAGAAGCCAAGCTGAAACAGTACCTCTGAGTAGACCTATGAATCTCAGCGTCGTCAGCGTAAGAAGAGTCACAGTGACCAGTAAGTACGACAAGCTACTGCCCTCCAAGAACTAGCCCCACGCCTGATGTCGTCGCTAGGTACTTCGCCACCCTCACAGCTGCCGTCCAGTGAACAGGACGGTGTCTCCCTGGCGCAACAAAGCGAGCAAGGATGCTGAGAGGGAAGGCGAGGTCCGGGCGAGTGCAAGTCATCAGGTACATGAGGCAGCCCACCAGCTCTGCGTAGGGACCACTAGACTCAAACAACTCGTCAGGAAAGGGTCCAGTAAGTCTGTGGTCAACAGCAAGAGGTGTGCGCTGTACTGTGGAGTGCAGAAGCTCGAACAGCTGAAGGACCTGCTGCACCATATGTGACTGTGAGAGTGTAATGGTGTGAGCAGCTTTGTCCTTGGTGATCTGCAGGCCAAGGTCGTGACGTAGCTCACCAAGGTCAGTGCACGTGTGTCTCTTCTGCACTTCCGACTTCACGTCTGCCAAGACAACCCTGTCAGTAGTGGCGAAAACCAGGTCGTCGACGTAGACCAGAACAAAGAACGGTGTGGAGCCACGACGAACGAACAGCGACGGGTCGGCAGAAGACAGCTGGAACCCAAGGTCAGAGAGGGTAGAACGAAGAGTGTCGTGCCACTCACGAGGAGCCTGACGAAGATCGTAGACAGGTCGCCTCAGCCTCCACTGGGTCCCAGGAGGGAAAGTGCCAGTGAAGGCAGAGGGACGACGCAGCCATACCTCCTCGTGTAAGCTACCCTGAAGGAAAGCAGTGGAGAAGTCGAGAGAGTGTAACTCGTAGTCTCTCTGTGCTGCTACGCGCAGTAACACCCGAAGAGTGGTCATCTTCGGGGTAGGCGCGAAGGTCTGAAAGAAGTCAACTCCCTCGCGCTGACTGAAACCTCTAGCCACGTAGCGCGCCTTGAATACCGGAGGAGATCCCGGTGGCCGCTTCACCCTGTAGATCCACATGCCATCAACTACGTTCGCCCCAAGGGGGGGGGACCTCGTCGACGTAGGTGCATGTGGATCTGTAGGAGGCCGTCTCTGCGTCCATGGCAGCTCTCCACTGAGAGGCCCAAGGCCCTGACACTGCCTCAGCGTAAGTGCGAGGATTCGGAATGTCAAGGGCGTCGGGGTCACCCTCAGGGGCGAGGAGCATGGCACAGAGATGAGGGGAAGCGGCCGCCAGGAACTCTAGCTCAAACTGCCTGTCCTCTAGGGCGTCACAGCCAAGGGCAGACACACCCCCGACGGCCAGAGGACTGGTAGGAGGAGCAGCCACAAGCGTGGTGGCGTAGTCAAGGCGGCGGGTAGAGGCAAAGTCAGTAACTGCGGCAGTAAGAGCGGACACAGAGGACACAGAGGCACGAGGGTGAGTAACAAGAGAGGCGAGAACACGAGAGAGAACAGGACGGTACGTGCGGTAGTAGTCAGTGACCGGCGTAGAGAGAGAAGCAGTGAAGGCCGACTCAGGAGGAGACGGAAGGAGAGACGGAGACGAACGAGGCGGACTAGAACGAAAGAGGGCAGTACGAAGGTCAGTAACGAGAACAGGAGACGAGGGACGAGCACGAGGGGAGCGACGAGAGGCCCAAGTCTGAGGAGGAGGGGACAATGGAGGCTGAGAACGAGGGAAAACAGCCGGGGAGGGGTCAGGAGGAGGAAGCGGAGGACCCGAGACGGGAGGAGAGGGGGAGGAGGAAGGAGAGCGGGATGGGAGACCGAGGGCCCGAAGACCGGAGACAGGAGGAGGAGGCGGCGGCTGCTGCTGCTGCTGCGACGGCGGCGGCGGCGGCGGCGGCTGCTGCTGCTCCTCCTGCTGCTTAGCGGCTCCAGCTGCTGCGCCTCCTACAACTGCGACGGCTCCAGCTGCAACTGCTCCTACTGCTGCTGCTGCTCCTCCAGCCGCTGCAACTCTCTCTCCTCTCCCTCCAACTCCAGCTGCTCCTCACGGGCATGGCGAACACGAGCCTGGTGCCGGGTCGGATAGGGGTGGGGGGGAGGAGTAGTGTCGGGGGCTGCGGCAGCCCCTGGACCGCCCTCCAAAGCACCTGGCGCACCACCCCCAGAGTCAGCACTACCAACAGCAACACGACCAGGCTCACCAGGACCCGAAGAGGGAGCACCCGCACCCCAGATGTAGCACCCCCAAAGTCAGCAGGACCAACACCAGCTCCCGGAAGACAAGAGTCTCCTGAAACCATAGGTTCAGCTCCAACTCTAGCACCCCCACAGCTAGCACCTCTAGGGCCCTCTCCACGAGCACCGGCTCCCGCAGGGTCTGCAGCAGGCTGCGAGGAGGAGTGCGGGGAAGGAGGCTGCACCTGAGGGGCTACCAAGGGGGGAGGGGTAGCCTGGGTCACACGTGACGGGGCGGGACCAGGGGGGGGAGGCTGTACCGGGGGAGCAGGAGGGGGAGCGGAAGTATGGAAGAGAGGGGGAGGAGGAACCGGGAGACCTCGACTAGGGTACCTGACGTAGTAGGGGGTGGACTCCTCGAAACGGACGTCACGGGAGTCAAAGAACCGGTGAGAGGGAGGGTGGTAAAAGGTGAAGTCAGAGGAGTCCTCAGGGAAACCAAGGAAGACACAGAGAATGGCGCGAGGCGAGAGCTTGTCCGCGGAAGTGTCGCGGACAAGATCGAAGCAACCCCAGACACGAAACCTCGACACAACACCAGGGGACCCGGTCCAAAGACTGGTCGGTGAAGCCTTTGCCCGAGAGACGCGTGGCCAGAGGTTCAGCTAGTGAGCGGCGTACCTAACTGCGTAGGGCCACAGAAAATGGGGGGCATGGGCGTGAGTCAAGGAGGTGCGGGCGATCTTCATGGCCAAGCCTATGTGGCGCTCAGCAACCCCATTCTGCTGTGGGGACTCTGGAAGCGTCCAGGACTGACGAATACCCTGCTCGTGACAGAATCCAGCGAGAATGCCGGAGCGAAACTCACCCCCACGGTCAGAGTGAAGACAGCTGACACGACGACCACGAGTGCCCTCAGTGGTAAGCAACCACCTGATCAGCGTAGAAGTCACCTCAGACTTCTTTGCCAGGGGGAACACTGTGGTGTAGCGGGAGTAGTCGTCAACGACCACCAAAAAGAAACGCTCGCGCTCAGGGCCAAGGCGAGGGGCGAGGCCCCAGGCGTCCAGGTGGAGCGTCTCAAAAGGCTCGGTGGCCGGACGAAGGGAGGAGAAGTGAGGGGTGGCGCGCAACCTACCCTCGACACAGGGACCGCACGGTGGTGCAAGCGAAGGTGGCAGCGACGGCAAGACACGTGGGAGGCCTAAGACAAGACGCTGACGAGACATAGCGTGCAGACGAGGGAGAGCGGGTGCCCCATCCGGTGGTGCCACAGAACGGTGGGGTGGGCAAGTGACCGGTAGGAGCACGACGCAGCAATTGGACCAGAGACGGGAACCTGACCAGACACAGCTACAAGGGGGGACGCAGCAACCTGGTGAGACGCAGGGACCAGACTGGGGGAAGTAACCGGGGCTGGGGGCAGGAGTCGCTGATACTGCTGCTGCCGCCGCCGCTGCTGCTGCTACTGCTGCTGCTGCTACTGCTGCTTCCCACCAAGGCCAGTGTGAAGTGTGTAGAGACCAAAGCCCGGCTCGGCAGTAAAGGTGGCAAGAGGCGAGTAAGTGTCGTCGTCAACACAAACCGCCGTCTCACCAGAGGGCTCAATCCACACACCCACGTGCTGACTCACAAGAGGCCTCACGCCCACCAAGTTCCTCGAGACCCCGAGGGGACGTGGAAGCCAATCAGAGACCCAGAGGGAACAGCAGGGCAAGGAAGAGTAGTAGTGTAGCGAGCAGTGACTGGTCCCGAGGTGGGATCAGCCAGGGCCACAGAGACTGGCGCAGGAAGTGGAGTAAGTGTCGTGTGGTCGTGGAAGAAGCAGTGCGAAGCCCCAGAGTCCAGAGTGAAAGACAGCGAAGCGTCCTCCGAAGTAGCGCCTGGACTAGTGTCTACACAAGTGCCTACACTAGCAACAGGCAACTCAGCAAGACTAGCACCTAAGCTAACAACATACGAGTAAACAGAGTCAGAAGCACTAGAATCAACAACAGCATACATAGCATGAGGAGTTCCTAAGAGATCAAGCAACTGAGAAACAGACATGCCCCAAAGAGCGGAGCCGTACGTCTGAACAAGAGGTAACCAGTCAGGGGCAGGGCCGCCAACGCCGAAGGCCAAGCGAACCGTGTCAGTGAGCTGAGCAAAGCACTGACCAGGAGGGTGGGTGCGACTACAAGGCTGGCCTCGGCGAGCACCTGTCAGAGCCTGATAGGTGCACGAAGGGTGAACAACACCTCGCTGGGGCGGACGCTGTCCCAGCCCCGAAACCTGTTGCTGCCGCTGCTGCTGCGGAGGCTGCTGCAAGGGGAGGGGCTGCTGCTGCTGCACCTGCTGCTGCCGCTGAGCCAGGTACCACACCGCTGCTCCACCCACCACGGCCGGCAGACCAGGAGGAGGCTGACGAGTCCGGGTGTCGCCTCCACCAGCTGCAGTAGGGGAGTCACTGGCCGCTGCACGAGACGCCTCTCCAGGCCCTGCGCTCTCGCCGCCACCGGTTGGCATGCCACCCCCACCACCTCCGCCGCCAACGCCGCCACCGCCGCCACCGCCTGCACCCTGACCGACCCTCCTGCCACCCCTACCTCGAGACTGCGACGTACTCGTAACAACAGCTGCGGTCACGTCAGTAGTGGCAGTGGCTAGCAAGGCAGTAAAAGTGGGCAGCTGAGGGACAGTGCACCCGTGAAACAGTGGAGAGGGCACAGCACCAGAGGCGGAGGCTACTGAGCGGAGGTTGCTCTCGACGTCCTTGAGCGCAGACTCAAGGACCTCGATAGTGAGCTCACTAGGGTGCTTCAGAAGAAGCATGTCACGAACCGAGGCAAGGCGGTCAGGGAGGCTAGTGGCAATGAAGTAGATAGTAATCGCCATAGGAGGGGGAAGCAGTGCAAGCTGTGCGTCAGTGCAAGCAGCGCGATAGCTAGAATCGAGCAAGCGGAGGTGAGCAATCAAGTCAGCAGAGCGCTCAAACGAGGCGAGGTCAGGGAACAAGAACGGTAGGAAGAGGCGGCCAAGGGAGACAGTGGTGGGAGTAGCGTAGCGGGCCTTGATCGCAGTCAGGAATTCACTAGCAGTGCGAACCTGAGTGAAGTGGGCCTCCTCAGACTCAGGGAGGAGGCTACTAAGAGCGATGCAGGCCGCAGCGTCACGCGACTTCCACGCCGTCAGGTCAGCACGCTGGCGGGTAAAGCGGTCTCTGGCGGCGTCGTCAGGGGCAGGGCCTAAAGGCGTAGGGTCGTCGGGCGCAGGAAGGTCACCAGTAGCGTGCGCCCAGAGGGACTCGCCCGCCTGGACCTGACTCTCTAAAAAACGACGCGCGCGTAGGAGTCAGACCGGAAACTCGAGCGGTCTACCGTCAGCGTCAAAACAAAGAACCCTAGGGGTCGCCATAGCAAAAGCAAAGAGGTGGGAAGTGCTGCTGCTGAAACCCTAATCACTGAGAGCGACTTAGTAGGGCGCTACGAGACATAGGGTAGGGCGCTACGGGACACAGAGTAGGGCGCAACAGTGCTGGACTAGGAGGGCGCAGCGCCACGGGCAGGGGTAGCGCGACGCGACGCAGCAGGATAGGACGGGCAGCGCGACACGACGCGACGCGACGGGACGGGACGGACTGCGCGATGCGGACGGGCAGCGCGACGCGACGCGAAGGGACGGGATGGACGGGCAGCGCGACGCGGACGGACGGGACGGGACGGACGGACGGGACGGGACGGACGGACAGGACGGGACGGGACGGACGGCGCGACGCGGACAAGCAGCGCGACGCGGACGGACAGGACGGGGCTGAAGGCGCGACGCGGACGGACGGGACGGGGTTGAAGGCGCGACGCGGACGGGCAGCGTGACGCGGACGGACGGGACAGGACGGACGGCGCGACGCGCACGGACAGCGCAGCGGGCGCTAGGGCATGAGAGCGACGTAACGGCAGGCGCGGCGGGCGCTAGGGCACGAGAGCGACGTAACGGCAGGCGCGATAGGCGCTAGGGGACAGTACGAGCGTAACGGGCACTAGGGTACGGGACCGGCTCGGGCGCTACGGACGTGAACGAGAGGAACGGGATCCCACAGGATCCTAACCTAGGTGATACCATGTCAAGAATGAAAGTGTTGGTTCATTGATGTGGGTTGGAGTACATATAACAAACCCTAACATCTGTACCCCATAAGACAAACCTCACAACAGGCTACAACATTTGACACAGATACAGTAGAACGTACCTAATGAGCCTGTTTTTGCCAGGCTCAGCTTGCTGTAACTCCTGGATACCCTACCGGTAAGTACGGTAACGATACGTTATGTTAACAGCAGTGCACACTCATTGTTGGCAAGCCATGTCTAAAATGACATGTTTCACAGCACATTCAACCACTGCGTTACGCACGTGTTACTGTGCTCCCTACCCCACGTTCTACTGTCCCCCCTCTCCGAATTATGTGCAGCTGTGCAATTATGCGTTATTCGTACAAACAGTTACCGTACCAGAACCCTGCCCAGCTTTACAAGGCCTTTCACCACAAGTGCATGATGCAAAACGTCAACGTCAAGGAGTCAACAAGCAAATAACCCCTGCAGGATCCGAGGCCTTACCACACCCTAAAGCCCTTCCCCGCTCACCCCTCCAGTTGTAGCAACCTGTGATCTCTCCTAGCACATGCCGCACACCCCCCTCCATACCTCCCCGCACCCCTACCCCTTCACCTCCGTACCCACACCCTCTTCCTGTTTCCAAACCGGAATCCTCGCTTCTGCCGGGTGAATCCAAGCAAATGTAAGGACAGCGTCTTTCCTTATACGCCCTTCTTCCCTGAATCGATCCCTCATGCCTTGCCCCACTCGCGCGCCCATCAATGCCCCTTCCCGCCAGTTCTACAGCCACCGAGCACTCACACCCATCCTCCCCCTCCCCCTCCCGCTCCCGCTCCTCCTCCCCCTCTCCCCCCTCCTCTCCCTCCTCCCCCTCCTCCTCCTCCCCCTCCTCCTCCAACGCTCCACCCACACCATCCCCATGCAGCGGCAGCACAGCACTTGCCAGGGACTGCCATCGCCGCACTGCTTGCCCTGCTCGCTCTACCTGCACTCCCTGCATGGAACCACCGGCGATTCCCCGCTGCACCGGGAAAGAGTCACTGGAGGAAAACCACCCAGATGGCAACGGCGAGCCCGGCAGAGAGGGGCTGTCTAGAGCCCCAAGGCCGCACAACACAGCACTGTGAGTAGGAGGAGGAGAAGGGGAGCGGCAGGAGAACGGTCTACCTACCCCCCCGGCTCCACTTTCTCTCTCCCGCCGCGGCTGCCCCATGTCTTCATGGCTGTCGTCCCCTGTGAGGTCATGGCTCTCGTGGTTGTCATGGCTGCCATGGCTGTCGTCCCCTGTGAGGTCATGGCTCTCGTGGTTGTCATGGCTGCCATGGCTGTCGTCCCCTGTGAGGTCAATCAACTCACGCTCATCGCTCCATCCCTCCACCACGCCTCTTTCCTCCCGCTTCTCACTGCCGCCCTCCTCCCTCACCCTCGTCTGCACCACCGTGCGATCGTTCTCAGCCGCTGCCAAGCTGCTACGACTGCCCTCACGTAACCTCCCATCAATGCTGCTGCTGTGCCACCTGCCGTGGCCGTTGCCATTGCTCATGCCATTGCCACTGCCACGACGCGATCCCATACCTTCTTCCCTTGCCGCCCCTGCTGTCCCCCCTGCCCTCCTTCCCTCCACTGCCTCCTCTAATCCTGCTGCGCCTGCAAGTTCCCCTCGTTGCCTTGCTGCACTGCTTCTGATTCTGCTGGTGCCTCTACCTGTGTCACACCAGTCGTCACCCCACACCTCTTCATCCACCCTACCACTGCTGCCACAAGGCGCAACTTCTCTTGCCCGTCCCTCCGCACAACACGCACAGTCAGCGGCCTCTCTGCAAGGCCAGAAAGCACGAGCACCAGCATGTGTAGCAGCAGCACCACCAGCAGAACCAGTACGGGTGCTGCAGCCACTGCTATTACCACCGTCGCGTTTCAGCCAGACCCTTTCCAGATCCTCTCCCCTCTGCATCTCCCTCCCCACATCCCCATGCCCCCCATGCTCCGCTGCACGTCCCCCTTCTTCTCCTCTCCGTGCCTGCACGCCACAGCTCAACGCCCCTTCATCCCCTCTCCCCATCCACCCCGCTTCCAATCCCTCTCCACCCGCACTCCCATTCCCACTCTTGCTCCCAGTCGCCCCTACTTCCTCCCCCCACCGATCCACCCCACTCCATCCCGTCCCCCGATCCCCTTCACACCCCCTTCCCCCCTCCCCTCCTTCCTCCACCCCTACTTCCATGCTCCCACTGTCACTGTCAGAACCCCCCAGCAATCCCGAGTCCCCCCACTCGAACCCCCAGTCAACACCACCGCCGTTACCACCATCACAACCGCTCCCAACACCCTCATCCCCTCCCCCTCCTGCTCCTGCCCTCGCCTCTTGTTCCGCCTCCCCCCCCCTCTCCTCTTCCATTCCCCCTTCCCACGCCCCTTGTATACCCTCCTCTCCCACACCAGCCTCCCCCTCGCCCAACGCTCCCCCACCCCCACCCTCTTCTCCCCCTGCCTCCGCACCCCCATCCTCCCCCGCACCCCTTCCCCCAAGGGCGGTCAGGGGCGCAACAACGAGGCGCATTTGGGGGGGCAGGCAGGGGGGAGGCCAGTTGTGGGGGACATGCTCGGGGGAGAGAAACTGCAGAACGAGGGGGAGGCTGGGGGGAAGACGGGGAAGGTACGGGGAGTGGGAAGGAAATGAGAGAGGAAAAAGAGAGCACGGGAGAGTGGTGTGAGTCACGCGAGTGTAGGTAAGGAGTCAGCGGGCGAGGGAATCAAGGACACAAGAGAAACCCCTCTTTATCCATCTCCACTCCTTACAACACACCCCCTCCTTCCCCCAAGCCCCCCCCCCTCCGCTCCTCTGCCCATCATCCCCTGCTCCTCTCCCCCTCACCTGCACCACAGCGGCAGCTGCAGCATGTGCAGCATGAGCCGCAGCTTGCCCGCAGATCCCATGAGCTGCCGCTTGCTGTGCTGCGCTGCCACGCCCCTCACGTGCAGCGACCGCAGCGGGTGCTGCCACGCCCACTCGAACTGCACACGGGGAAGGGGGAGCGCGGGTGGGGTTGGGGGTGGGGGTGGGAGTGGGATGGAGGGAGGTGGGCAGGCACAGAGTGCAGAGCCGAGAGGGACAACCATGAGACGTGCGAGACAGGTGCAAGGACCAAGGCGAGAGGTCCTAGGAAGAGTGATTCCTGGGGCCGGGGCCACACGAAGAGCATGTACCGCTGCAAGAGACGACGGGGAGGAGGAGGAGGATGAAGAGGAAGAGGAGTAAGATGATGCAGCACCCCCCAATCCTTTCCTTCCCCCCCTCGCGCACTCCAGCCAAGGAACCATCAACCCACCTTTCCGTGAGAGGCAAGGCAAGCACTGCTGCCACGAGCGTTCCTACAGCCGTGTCGCCATCACATCCACTCTCCCCATTTCCTCCCATCTCCCCATCTCACCATCTCCCCCCATTTCCCTCCTCTTCCCCATCTCCTCCCTCTTCCCACTCTGCACCCCTCCACCACGTCCCTCTCCCCCCACTCTCCATTCTCCCCTCCCCAGATCCCTGCGCGCACCTGCAGCGCGGCGGTGCGCGAGGGGAAGCCGTGCAGCAGCAGCAGCATCTCCCAGGGGCGGTGGCGGCGCGTCTTGTGCGCGCCGCTCACCACGCGCCCGTTGTGCTGCCGCAGCCGCCGCACCGGGTCCACTGTGAAGCTGGAGTGCGGGGGGAGCCACGCGCGGGGAGAACGGGGCGCGGAAGGGGATGGCGGGGAGGAGGAGGGAAGGGGGAAGGGGAGCGGGGAAGGGAAGAGAGGACGGAAGGGTGGGAGTAAGTGCCTGTGCTGCCGCAACCTACACACCGGGCCCACTGCGAAGCTGGTGGAGGTGGCGGGAGGGAAAAGCTGGGAGACAAGAGGGAGGGTGTACACAGTACACCTGAGAGTGCCTGCGCTGGCGCAGCCGCCGCAGGTGGCGCACGGGGTGCACTGTGAGGGAGGTGGGGGGAGGGGGGGAGGGTGTGCACCGGAGAGTGTCTGTGCTAGCGCAGCCGGACGTGGCCCATTGGGAACCTGGGAGCGAGGGAGGGGAAGAGAAAGCGAGCAATGGGAGTGAGCGACACAACGAGGAAGGCAACGAACTGATTTCTAGATTAGATTGGTTTATAAGCTTGAATCTCCTGATTCTCCTCAGTGAGGGAGTTCGTGCGGAATCGGAATGAAATTGGACAATGATTACTCGTCGGCTCATACGGGCCATCAATGAGAGAAGCTCATCTCGAAAACATACCCGATATAAGTTGCTCCGCGTGCCAGGGGATTCAGACTCCGTAGCAGGTAACACGCGATCAGCGAAACCGTTGATTTTCGCGAGGGTCGCCTCTCCTTGTTCGACGCGTGTAGAGGCCTTTTAGACGATTTTTCCCCGACGTCATCCATGTCCCTCCGTTCTATGACCGCCCGATATGTCCCACCCGTATGAGTCGACTCAAAAGTTCGCTCAATTCCGTCTTCAAAGCATCCTCTCCACCTTTATCGAACGCTACGGGGCGAATCTAGACGACGTCAGCGATCGCAGGGTGGACACGTCACACGACTCTGTGCGAAACTTCAATGGTCGCCAGGACTAGGGTCGCTGCGCGCTGACGTAAGAAAGTCGCACGTGTGTCGCATTAACCAATCCGCTGCAGTCGCTGGTGTAGTTCTGGGATTTGGTCGTCTGCTGCCGAGATTAACGATCTTGCCACAAGTTCATCGAGCAGCTCCGCATTGGACGCGACGGTTTTAGGCGCCTTATCTGACAACCCCCGTCTGTAAGCGGTTGACACAAACGCGGGCTGTTACACCCTAAAAATTACTTGGTCCCGAAGCTTCAAAAACATCTCCACATGCACAATAAAGGCCGCCTAGACCTCGTCAGCTAAGGGCGTGTGTGATTTTGCCGAACCTGACAAAGTTCGAACTCAAACCGCTTTGCACCGTGGCAAAACTCTTCTAATTGTATCCTACCGTGACGAACCGTTACAGAAGTTCGAACTTTCAGTCAGGTTCGGCAAAATCACACACGCTCTAAGGATAACCAGCTTCCGAAGCAGTAATATGAAGAGGTATTCTAGAGGCAGTTGGAGTTTTGAGAGGTTCCATTTTCTGTTCTCCACTTGGTCCTCTGGATTTGAAAGGATTGCTCGGCGCGCTGTGCGCGATGCGTCTCGGCTCTGCGCCCTGGGATGCCTCTGACGAGGCGGTGTGATCGCCGTCATATTGTCGGTACACTCAAAGGCTGGATACACTGCACTCTGAAAAAGACGCGTTTAAAGCCGTTGACCCAAATTGCACAAGTTTTAAAAGCTTGGCCATGGGGTTCGAAGGGTTGGCGAGGGGTGTGAAGTGAAAGTTGGGAGCCGAAAGAAAGCACCCCCAGTCAGCGAATTAGCGAATTATTTAGCGAACAGCCGAGTCAAACTACAAAGAACTGGCCAATAGAAATTGTCGCAACCTGCCATCCACACATCGCGCCCCAAAAACACAAAACACAACTGCGCAAACCTCACACACAACACCACGACCTGCATTCACTGGCATCAACCTAGCAGGCCCGCTAGTTCTAGATACTGCATGTAGCAGCCACATAAAGTAGCCATGACATTGCCCGCACACTTCCGCTGCGTACGATAAACCTGTCACATTATTAGGGTTACCACAGCCACAAAGGAAAGAACGTCAAACGATGCGCGCAGCCACAAACAGAAACGGTTTGATAACGACGGAATAATAGCTCCTATGGCCCGTCGACCACCCAAGGGAGGGTCACGAAGGTACGTAAGAGCCGCTCACACCCTCCAATGGGCACGAACGTCGCCTCACGCCACCATCTTCAATTCCCCCTCCCGTCGTCCTCGCTTTCCCCTCGCAACGCCTCCACTTCATCCTCCCGTCGCCCCCACTTTCCTTTCCCGTCGCCTTCAATCACACCTGCCCGTCGCCTCCACTTCCCCCTCCCGTCGCCTCCACTTCCCCCTCCCGTCGCCTACACTTCCCCCTCCCGTCGCCTACACTTGCCCCTCCCGTCGCCTCCACTTCCCCCTCCCGTCGCCTCCGCTTCCCCCTCCCGTCGCCTCCACTTCCCCCTCCCGTCGCCCCCACTATCCCTCCCGTCGCCTCCACTTCCCCCTCCACTCGCCTCCACTACCCCCTCCCGTCGCCTCCACTTCCCCCTCCCGTCGCCCCCACTATCCCTTCCCGTCGCCTCCACTTCCCCCTCCTCTCGCCTCCACTTCCCCCTCCCGTCGCCTCCACTTCCCCCTCCCGTCGCCTCCACTTCCCCCTCCCGTCGCCCCCACTATCCCTTCCCGTCGCCTCCGCTTCCCCCTCCCGTCGCCTCCACTTCCCCCTCCCGTCGCCTCCGCTTCCCCCTCCCGTCGCCTCCACTTCCCCCTCCACTCGCCTCCACTTCCCCCTCCCGTCGCCTCCACTTCCCCCTCCCGTCGCCCCCACTATCCCTTCCCGTCGCCTCCACTTCCCCCTCCTCTCGCCTCCACTTCCCCCTCCTCTCGCCTCCACTTCCCCCTCCCGTCGCCTCCACTTCCCCCTCCCGTCGCCTCCACTGCCCCCTCCCCGAAAGGTGAGTTTAACGTCGTTCTTGCGAGGGTGGGCCGTCGCCAACCCTTTCCCTTCCCGTGGCCAGAACTCCCCCCTCCACTCTCCATACCGCGTCCACTTTCCATACCTGCATCCACTTTCCATACCTGCATCCACTTTCCATACCTGCCTTCACTTCCTGCTCACTCTCTTCGCCCCACTTTCCCCCACTCTCGCCCGTTTTCACTCTTATCGCTCTCTTTCCCCCTCTGCTCAATCCTCTTTTCCCGGCTCACTCCCACGCCCACTCTCTCCAACCCTACCCACTCTCACCCGCCCTGCCCACTCTCTTCCCCCATGCCCACTCTCTTCCCCCATGCCCACTCGCTTCCCCCATGCTCACTCTCTCCCCCGTCCAATCCCGCACTACCCCCCGTCCAACGCCCCACTTCCCCTTGCTACCCCTGTCATCCACCCATCCCCTTGCTACCCCTGTCATCCACCCATCCCCTTGCTACCCCTGTCATCCACCCATCCCCTTGCTACCCCTGTCATCCACCCATCCCCTTGCTACCCCTGTCATCCACCCATCCCCTTGCTACCCCTGTCATCCACCCATCCCCTTGCTACCCCTGTCATCCTCCCATCCCCTTGCTACCCCTGTCATCCTCCCATGCCCTTGCTACCCCTGTCATCCACCCATCCCCTTGCTACCCCTGTCATCCTCCCATCCCCTTGCTACCCCTGTCATCCTCCCATCCCCTTGCTACCCCTGTCATCCTCCCATCCCCTTGCTACCCCTGTCATCCTCTCTTCCACACCCTGCTCACCCCATATCATCCTAAATTGGCAGGAAGACAAAGGATTCAACTGCAAATGAAGCCAATCCAGTTGCTGGGCTTAGTGCCGAGCATGACAAGGCCACTCACGGTATATCCAAGCACATGCGGCCAGTCATATGCCTACAACGCTGCGGCTTTGTCGGCTTTGTCACTCACTCCCCTCTTCCCACACATGGCTCCTTTCATCCGTGCCGTTGCCAGAATCACGTCACAACCCAGCTGTGCCATTGTGTGTGAGGCTTCTCAACAACGCCCAAGACATGATGATTCGCCCATCCAAGCAGGAAAGGCGTGGGCCCATGGTGGAGACTATCTCCTTCAATTCGGCATCATGTGATACACCTTTCTGTTGCTCCGCGAACAGAACATTTCAAGCACTCTTCATATAACTCTAACAGCATCCCACCCGGCATGGAAGGTTGCTAGGCAAGACACATGCATGTGCTCATGGCATTTCTTTTTTTCTGGGTGTCGCAACCCACCGATGATTGGGTGGGCTATATTATCGCGTGTCCATAGAGTACAGGTGAAGCATGCTCAAACTAAACCTTGAAACAACACAAGACTCGTGCAATAGAGTTGTTTTGTAGCCTGTGTTGTACTAGCATGGATCTACTGCTTGGCGTGACTATTTATGTAGGGTGGTCTGGCTGTTGGAGGTCCACATCATGCTTAAGACAGTTGCTGCTACTGGTTATGTGAAGGCTGGTCCCTGTGCCATGCAGACATGTGCAGGAAGGCTGCAGGAAGATAGGGAATGAGGTAACTGGGCAGATGGGGAAAGAGATAACTGGGCAGACAGGGAATGAGATAACTGGGCAGATGGGGATAGAGATAACTCAGCAGATGGGGAAAGAGATAACTGGGCAGACGGGGAAAGAGATAACTAGGCAGATGGGGAATGAGATAACTGGGCAGATGGGGAATGATATAACCCGGGCGATGGGGAATGAGATAACTGGGCTTCACGTGTGTGGCTTCACGTGGGGAGCCATGGGGGAGGGTGCAATTTCGCAGCACTATGGCCAGATGGCAGGCAGCCGAGCATGCAGCAATGCCAGATGCATGTGATCACGAGCAATAACCGGATGACTGCTGCACCCTCCCACTCTGCAAACCTGAAAATGTTGCTCCACCCTTGACTTGCCCATCACATCCGGCACCCCTTACCTCCTGCCGGACAGGATGGGGGGGGGCAAGTCTAGGGAATGTGAGAACAGGAGAGATGGCACAGGTGGCACGGGGTGAGGGAGGGTAGTGTAGTGGATGGCACAGATATTCTCACGTTGCTTTCGAGAACTCTCCCGAAACAGCTGCTTCAGTCCGTCTGACGTAAAGCTGAAACAAACTTCAGTGCGTATCAGAAGAATAAACAATCCAGAACATACACCAAACAAACAGAAGAATAGCAGGATGACAACAGACACACACCCAATGGAAGGAAGACCGCTGCTGCTGCTGCTCTGACCCCCACCACCAACACCGCCACTGGCACCATTCTCACTTTCCTTCGCCCCGCCCCTCTCCTCTCCCCTCCCCTCCCTCACTCGCCTCCCCCGCTCAGCCATGAGTGCTCCCACAGCAGCCAACCCATCCACTCCGGGCCACTCCCCCACCATCACCCCCTCACACTCCCTCACTCTCCCTCCCTCTTTCCCTACCCCACCCCCTCCTCTCCATCGTCTTCGCTTCCTCCTCCTTTCCTGCAACCCCCTACCGCTTACCCCACCGTCCATCGCCTTGCCACCCGCTCTCCTCCTCCCTCCTCTCACTGCATGATCCTTACCCACTCTATTTCCCGCCCTTCTCACTCCCCCCACCCGTCGCGATCACTAAGGCAGCATGACGCACAGACAGCACCAGGGCACCCGTCACAACCAGCCCCAGCAGGACCAGCGCGAACAGCACCACCCACCGCCGCACTCGCTTCCGCCTTCCCTCCACCACCGCCCCTCTCCCTCCCCTGACCCACCCACCACTGCTGCTGCCCAAAGTCGCACTACCTAACCCGAAATGAAGCCAAGAGCTGCTGCTGGTGCTGCTACCTCCTGCTTTCCCATGGTGGGAGGAGGGGAGAGAGGAGGAGGAGGCAGAGAGCCAGCGCGAGCGGTGGCGGAGGTACCGCCACACACGCCACTCCCCTGCCTTGTTGCCCTTGCTGCCGCTGCTGGTACCGCTGGTGCTGGTGGTAGCGGTGGTGCTGGCGGTGGTTGCAGTGCGAGAGGCAGCAGAGGAGGGGTAGGAGGTGGTGGAGGAGGAGGAGGAGGAGAAAGGCGTGGTGACAACATTGACGCGAGGGGGGAGAAGCCTTGCAGCGACTGGCCTCTCACCAGCGAGGTGTGCGCTGGTTGCTGGGTAAGGCGATGGGGGGAAGAGGGAAGAGTGGCAAAGGGGAGAGGGAGACAGATGGTGACAGCAGCGGGTGTGTTGAGAATACGTGCTGCTCGGTACGCACCCGTCATCTCCTCGCCCACCGGCCCCCACTACCTCCACACTCCGCCCACCCTGTTGCTGGGGAGGAGGGAGGGGTGAGAGGGGGACGGGAGTGGAAAGCAGGGGGAGAGGAGGTGAGGAGGTGAGTGGGAGAGAGGGTAGGCGGAGTGGGGACGTGAGGAGGGGGGACGTGTGGTTTGGCGTTTGTTTTCGGGATGGCTCATTGCTGTCCTCTGGTTTTTGTTTCGTATGGTTTGGCTCGCCAGATCGCTACTTGCCTGGGTTGGGAGGAGAGTCGAGCCTGGGATAGTGGGGGGAGGAGAAGGGGAAGGGGGGAATGGAAGAGTGAACTGGTGATATACCCTCATCTGCAGCCCCACCCCGTGTCCGTGGTGAAGCCAGCTCCAGCACCAGCACCACCAGCAGTAGCACCGCCATCAGCGCTACCAGCAGGACCAGCAGCAGCAGCAGCTGGACGAGGAAGAATGACAAAGCAAGCTTCTCTAAACCTGCAAACTGCCCTCTCAAATCATCCAGAAAATGTTCCCAACTTCACACCTCCCCACCTGCATCTTCCCCTCCGAACCTGCAACTACCTCTTCCAACCAGCAACTACCTCTTCCAAAAAAGAACGAACCCTCTCACACACCATCCGTCGATCTCATCCCCCACCCCTACTAAAATTACTTGGCAAAAACGTCCTGTTGCCGCCGAAGCTGCAATGAAGGGACCAGATTCGACGCCAGCAAGGCCAGGGACGACCGAGCATCGCCTGCAGGTTCGGAATCCATGGCACGGGTCTACGAGCCTAGGAGATCCGTGGAGCCAAGTCCTGAGGATTCCAGCCAATTACGGAGCTCCATGGAGAAGCAGGGAGCAGAGACGGAGTGGGAAAGTCCTTCTGCTGCCGTGGATGGAGGTAAAGGAGCAGGCGCAACAGCGCCAGAAGAGACGTCGTAAGACGAAACGGTGACTGTAGCAGCGGCATGATGGAGAGGCGGAGGGGCGGCTTGCGTGGAGCGGCTGAGAGGAGAATACGAGGCGTAGGGGATGGTAGGCTATGAGTGGTTGCGGCGGAACGGAGAGAGAAGGAGAGAGGAGGGATTGGAGGTGTGGGGAAGGGAGGGGCGAGGGGAAGAGGTGGGCTCGGATGGAGATGGGAGGGGATGAGGGAAAGGTGACGCTTACAAACAAGGCGAGGAGAGGAGGGCGTACGAGCCAGACGGCGTGGGGTGAAGCTCTCCGAATCCAGCGATGCGCCATCCCTATTCCACATGATGACGGCGGGGAGAGAGGGCTGCAAAGGGGCATGGGGACAATGGGGACGCATTCGAAAGGTGGGAAGGGGGGATTTGATGGGAGGATATGTGGGGGTGCGGCAGGAACCGTCGGACACGACATTTGGAACATGTTGGTAGCCCTGACGGCGACATGTCTACTACGCAAATGCCATGTCCAAGTTGGTCGCGTCATCTCAAACCGATGCGCGTGTTTGTAAGCGATGCACGCATTTCCTGCCATTAGCTCCATAGATGCAGTGTCGAGTCGGCGTTTTACCACTCCACGTGTAGTTGAGAGCGACGACGTGTTTGCGACGATGCGCCACGCAACCTCTCACCGCGCCCTAAAACTATGCGTGACGTGTCACAGCGCGCCGTTATGCGGCGCGTAAGGGCGAAGGTGGAGAGCAGAACGAGGCTTCATGACAAGTCGACAGCGTGCCGCCATGCCTGTGTTTGTTATGGCATTGATCGCGAACGCGACCATCGTCACAACGGCCGTTTAGATTTGTCCTCAGCGCTATAACCACGACACTGCCCATACAACCACCATCAATAACCGTGGGATTTGGTGGTTGCGCCCTATATGCCATCTTGATGGCGACTAAATGCTATCAGGCGGGCCATGGCGCAATCCTAGTGTGCCAGTTGCTAGAAAGGCTTAGTGCCAGCGTAGCGGAAACGTGTTTGTAGAAAATAACAAGATAGAAATCTTGCATTGATCATTGAAAAGTAGAAGGATGACATAATGATAACTCAATGATTACTCAATGATGTTGAAGAAGTGACAGAGCAGGGTATATATGCATCCAGCTACCCCTCCCAGAATGGCCCATTCACACCAATAATGGTGTACCTACCAATAATTGTACCCTCTACCCTCCAATAATGCTAGGCTCCAATAATTGTGGCCCCTACAATAATTGTCACACAGTTATTGTAGGACCTGGAAGCTTATAAAGAGGACTACACTAAAACCAAACAGCACACTGGTATACAGTATTCGTTATACTGTATTCGGATTTCCAACACTCCCCCTTGCTGTAGGTTTTAGTGAATCCGTTTTCCTTGGAGGATAGGGTGGTCGAGGTGGTGTACCACCACAAGGTAGGGGTGCGTCCAAACAAAGCTAGGGTTTGGTGTTGGCCAAGCTGCTTGTCACTGTAGCACTTTTCCCCTCCCAACCTTTGGGCCTTCCAAACTCCAACCAAACCACATGCCTTCACGTTTTTCAATCCCTCCTTCCAATCTCGACATTCTAGATCGAGATCTAGAGAGTAGTGGCTGCTGCTGACGAAACCGTAGCAGCTCCATGACGAAATCTCCTTCAAACCATGCCAGAATCCAGAATGCGTGTATCGTCATGGCGAAATGCCCTTAGCGCACGTCGAATTTCCGAAACCATAGTCTTTACGACACGCGATTGTCAGTGCAGCTGTCTTTTTCGCACGCCTTCAGTGCGACGACGCGAAACCGCAATGGATGCGCATCTGCGACGACTGCACCTGCGGATGACGCGAATCGGTAGCGGATAACGCATGGCGTACGGTTGGCGCGGAACTGCATTGGCGAGCACAAACTTCGCGCGATAGAATCGACGACCTTGCGTTCGTCAGCGGCTGACGATCTGCTGCGCGCCTACTGCATCATTTGCCTGTCCGCGCCTGCTGCATCTTCGTAAGCCTTTCTCCCCATGCTTTGGCAATCTTGCCAAGTTTGCTCAAACTTCACTCATATTGCCCTGTGATGCTCCCCATACACTCCAGCAGACACACGGTAGCAGCCGGAGTTGCCGAACTCCATCAGTTGGAGAGTTGCGCATGCCGACGAACTCCAAGTATCCCAGAAATCTGCACTCCATATGTGCAGAAATGTCCACTCCATGTGCAGTGCACACCAAGTATGCCGAGATGTGCATACCAAGTATGGAGAAACGTGCACACCAGGTATGCAGTAATGCGTGTTCCCATGTATGTTCTCCATCATTCCCTCAGATGGTGCCGTTCATCTGCAGCAACCAATCGCACGATACCGCTTCATCACGACGGATGACGCCGATCGTCTGCATCCTTTCTGCCTGCTCTCCCTGCCTATTGGCAACCTTTGTTGAGTATGTCTTCCCCTTATGCTCCTTGACTCCATATCCCACTCCTACGCCACCAGATACACTCGACACCCCACCTCCCCCTCACCCATGTGCTTGTAGTCATCCGCGTACACAGCTACAAGCACATGAGTGAGTGTGGAGTTAGGTGATGCCATGTTGTGCAGCACCGTTTGAGGTGGCCGAACAGGTGAGTACAACTCAACAATCCTTGACTTGGCGATCATCAGCAGATGGTACGCCCGTTGATGCACATCCCAAATTGATTTCAGCATCATTGTCTTCAACCTCCTCTAATACAGTCACTCCTGCTGTAGGTAAGTCATTTGCTGCAGCATCTCCACTTCTTTGGGTTGCATCAGCTTCATCAGCTCCAGGTGAGTCATGTTCTACAAGACCTGCTCCATCTCCTCCCGAATCCACCGCGGAACTTTTTCCTTCTCCCCCTGAAGTCCACATCACACTGTGGGGTGAGACTTCATCTGTAGCAACATCATGTGCCGGGTTCCGCACGATGCTTGCTTTGTGTGCCATGCGGTAGGTGACAGATGCATGTGCAGACTTGCCATTCGAGTGCATCCCAGGTGTGCGGAAATCCGTGCTCCCATGTGCGTCAATGTGCACACCAGGTGTGCGGAAATGGGTAACCCCTTCACGATCAACCGGATTCGATGACGCGCCATCACGGGACTGACCAGGATCATGGGCGGATGTAATTGCATGCTCATACTGCACCACGAGCACTCCATCCACATTCTTGGCAAGTCCAATCTGCACGTACTCCTCTCCATCAGTCATGGTGATCACGGTGTCTCCACTAGCAATAGTATTGATCTGCGCTCCCTTTTTCAGCAGCTGACAATAAGAGAGCAGGTTGCTCTTCAGGCCAGGTACGTAAAGGACTTCAGTGTAGCGAACCGTTGTCCCATCAGGTGCCGTTGCTCTGATCGTTCCCGTCATCGTGCTGCCCAGCTCGCTCCCATCAGCGAGCTCCACATAAACAGGTTCGTCCAGCTCCCTTAACTCTTCAAACCAGCGCTTGTCCGAGGTCATGTGCTGGCTGCATCCACTATCCAGCATCCAAGATGACGCTTTAGCTGGTGGTAAGGTAGCTTGTGACGATCCCACCGTTGCAATGCATGTAACAGTATGTTGCTTGTCTTCCCCAGCTGCCCCTTGCTGTTTTGATGCATTGTTGTCACGCTTGGGGCTGCGACTCCTTCATGGGGAGAGTGAACGACTGTCGCCGGTGTGCAGTTTTGACCTTCTGGTATGCGGTTCCCACCTTGGTGGTGACCAGCCAGGGGGTGCCTTGGTACACTTGAAGAAGGGGTGGCCGACCTACTTGCAGTACCAACACACAAGAGGTGAGCGACCCGCACTTCCTTCCTTGCCGTGCATTTTCTCCCCAGCGAATTCTTCCTTGTTCCCGGTGCTGCCCTTAGCAGTTGGAGAAGGTGAGCGATCTCCGCGCGCTTGTCCAGCCATGCGAGGTGGACGCCGGTCATGGTTAGCCTTCGTGATGAGGTCGTGATACCTCTGCTCCTGAATCATCATCCACTGCAAGGTGAAGCTGTCCATCACGTTGTGTAGCATTGCCGAGTGCCTCATCTCCTCCCAATGCGCCGGTAGTCCGGTGAGCAGATTTAAGGTGAATGTGTCCTCATCCACCATCTTCCCCGCGAGTGCTAACTTGTCCCGGATTGCCGTTGCGCGGTTGACGTACTCCTCCACCCTTTCCACGTTCCCCATTTTCAGGTTGTCCAGCTGCTTCATGAGAGAGACCTTCGCCACCGAATCTTTTGCTTGGTAATTATCCATTAAATACTCCCATGCTTCATATGCCGGGCTGTAGGATTCCTGGAACATGTCCACCTACAGCTGAATCGTGGCGCTCACGCTGTGCAGTAGGACCCAAAAAGCGAGCGCCACACGTTGTGAGTAATCCGCCAGTAGCATTTCCAGCCGCTCCATAGCGTCGTTAATGTCACCATCTCCCATGGTAACCGGATACTGCAGGGTCACAAAGAACTCCCACAGATTCGTGACGCGAGCGTTCATACGAAACCGTAGCGCCCACTCCCGGAAGTTCGAGCCATCAAACGGAGTAGTGGTGAACGCTTTGTCCACCATTACTCCCACCATTTTGTGTGACAGCCGTTCCTTGTCTTCTTCCGTGTATTCACGTGGAGCGGGGTCGAAGAGAGTAGGCACGGTTGACGGTCGAGGTAGCTGTACCGTGCGCTGCATGTTTCCATTCTGTCCACCAAGTTGACGTTCCATCACTTCCACTTGATCGCGTCGCATGACACCACTTGACTGCATTCCGTATCCCATCCGCCCTATGCTGTCCACATAGTGTGCGCCGATCGATGGACGTGGTGCACGCGGAGGTACGGCATAGCCGCCATGAAGGTGAGACCTGGCCATGGGAGGAACTCCAATGGGATGGGAATTAGTCGCAAGTCGTCGTAGTGGGGGAGCACCAATAGAGTAGGAGGCAAAACCCACACCTTCCACGCCCACTTGACCATTTCCGTCACCCTGCTGCCTAATCTGTCCACTTCTCATTCCACCAAGCACTGCACTCCCATACTCATCATTCATCCCCCGTGCTTCCCTTTGCATGGATGATTGAGGTGCGGGATTGGCGCTCTCCTCTCCTTGGACGGATGCATCCCTCCCTTGGGATGACTCTCCTCCTTGAGGTATGCCCATTTCCCCTTCACCATCAATTCCTGCATGAACATTTGATGCACGGTTTTGGTTAGTGCGCGGAGTGCTTGAATGAGAGTGTCCACGGGTGGACCGATTGCTGGACTCATGAGAGAACTTTGTCCTTGGCTGGATTGTCATTCCAAACTTGTCCCTTAACGAAGCTTGGAGTCTTGGTGGTGCCCTTGCAATCATGCTTTCCATGTGCTCATGCTGAGCCATGATGGCTTCTTCAAAAGCCGCATATCCAGCATCCACTTCGCCATCGAAGTGTGCCATGACCTTGACAAACCGTCCACCAAGTGTGCGCTAAACGCGCGGTTGTACTCAGCAGCAAACACCAGGTGTACGAAAGCGTAGACCGGGTGTGCGGTACTCTGACTGTATGCAGGTACCTATCCGAAGTGAATGCCAGTAAATTCCTGAACCAAATTTGGCAGCATGCCCCCTAGAGTAGCTCTCATACCATGCTAGAAAGGCTTAGTGCCAGCGTAGCGGAAACGTGTTTGTGGAAAATAAAAAGATAGAAATCTTGCATTGATCATTGAAAAGTAGAAGGATGACATAATGATAACTCAATGATTACTCAATGATGTTGAAGAAGTGACAGAGCAGGGTATATATGCATCCAGCTACCCCTCCCAGAATGGCCCATTCACACCAATAATGGTGTACCTACCAATAATTGTACCCTCTACCCTCCAATAATGCTAGGCTCCAATAATTTTGGCCCCTACAATAATTGTCACACAGTTATTGTAGGACCTGGAAGCTTATAAAGAGGACTACACTAAAACCAAACAGCACACTGGTATACAGTATTCGTTATACTGTATTCGGATTTCCAACACCAGTGACGTGTGTGGCCCTATTGTACGACTCTGCAGCGTTGTGCTAGTTTGTGTTTTGAAGTTCCAAATTGCATGACAATCTGTTTCAAGTTTTTGGGTGAGTGGTCGCAAGACGGGTTCTTCCGAATCCTGTTCTGCGTTGTTTTACAATTGTAATAGATTTCATTGGTTCACATCATCAGGTGGTCTGTTCTCATTGGTTCACAACCTCTGTTGTGTCGCTCGGACATCAGTCTCCCCTAAACTCGGTAACCCGAAAGTCAGGGCGTCAAGTTTTAAAGCTGTCGCCTACATACCTCCTGCGGGAGGACCTGGTTTATCACTTGAAAACCAGGTAGCACAGGGCTTCGCTCCATCCTTGGGTGGCGAGGTGCAGTTACTGCTTTCTGACAACCCAACCCCCCCTCTGAAAGTTGGCCTGCTCAGGATTGGCTTACAAATTTCGCGCCAATCTACCCCCCAACCTCGATTGGTTGCAGGTTGTGGCGAAATCGCCACCACAACCCCAACCTCACGAAAAAAGTACCCCCCAAACCAAACCTTGCACGCAACTGGCGGGATTCGCCAGTTGTGTTTGAATCCTTCGCGCTCTCATTTCTGGAAAGGGATCATTTCGTGTGCAAATCAGACTGCGTCTTAGGGTGTGCACCCGAAATACCCCCAGAAAATACCCTTTGGTATGTAGACCGCAGCTTTAAAGCCCGAGTTTCACATGGTATTTTTCAAATTCAAGTTTCTTGAAGTTGATTTCGTGAATAACCATGTTACCAGCTGGTTCAGAACAATCCGTCGGTTTCAAGCAGCAGAGGTGATCCGTGATTGGCCAGCGATAAACTGGAACAACAAGCAGGAAAAACGCCTCAGAGAAAAGCACTATTCACCTTGAGTAAACTTGAAAACCATCCGGAATGCTTGGACACGCATATTATGAGGCACGCTAGTAGTCTTTCTCCCGTCACATACGGGCAATCTTCAGTTTAAGTGCTCTATTCAAAGACACGAATCAGGGACCTTTGGCGACTTTAGTTGCAACCGAGCCGCCGCCATTATGTTTCCTCTAACGCAATCGCCACGTTCTCTCCAAGTGTCGTTGCAGCGAGTAGTAGTCTCAGGCTTAGAAAGAAGCACACGCTCGCGCGTCGCGAAAGTATCCCCAGCCTTCCGCCTCCGCCGTCAATCTCTCGGCCAATGTAGACACCCCGACTTATTTTCCAGTCGTAGCGCCTTGGTATGACAGCAACGCCACGGTGTATCGCGTTGCCTCACTCGGTCGCCCTGGCATCGCCCTTCCTCAAACATCACATTCGCCTTCTGCGTACCCTACGCACACGCCCACGCTTCCCCCCACCCTTTCCCTCACCTTCGCTCACGTTTCCCCTTTACCGTCGCTGCCTCCTGCTCCCTGGGTGCACCCACAATTCCGCTGACCATCGCGCACGCCTCCCCCCACATTCACACACGCTCATCGCCCACGCTTCACCGGACCGTCACCCCCGCTTCAGCCCACCGTCACCGACGCTTCCTCTTACCGTCGCCCACGCTTCCTCTTACCGTCGCCCACGCTTCCTCTTACCGTCCCCCACGCTTCCTCCCACCGTGGCCCATGCTTCCTCCCCGTCACCCACGCTTCCCCCCACCATCGCCAACGCTTTTCCCCACCGACGCCAGCGCCTTTCCCCACCGTCGCCAACTCTATTCCCCACCGTCGCCGACTCTTTTCCCCACCGTCGCCAATGCTTCTCCCCACCGCCGCCCACGCTTCCCCCCACCGTCGCCAACGCTTCCCCACACCGTCGCCCACGTTTCCCCCCACCATCGCCCACGTTTCCCCCCACCGTCGCCCACGTTTCCTCCCACCGTCGCCCACGTTTCCCCCCACCGTCGCCCACGTTTCCCCCCACCGTCGCCCACGCTTCCCCCCACCGTCGCCCACGCTTCCCCCCACCGTCGCCCACGCTTCCCCCCACCGTCGCCCACGCTTCCCCTGCCATCGCCCTCCGTGTCGCCCGGGAATCCCCCTCCCGCCGGCCTCCCTCCCCTCCCGCGAAAACCCCCCCCGTCCTCTCATTACCCCAGCCTCTCATCCCCCTGTCCCCTGTCCTCTCATCCCCTCGTCCTCTCATCCCCTCGTCCTCTCATCCCCCCGTCCTCTCATCCCCCCGTCCTCTCATCCCCCTGTCCTCTCGTTCCCCCTGTCCTCTCATCCCTCTGTCCCCTCATCCCCCTGTCCACCCTCCTCTCATCCCTCCGTCCTCTCATCCCCCTGTCCTCTCGTTCCCCCGTCCTCTCATCCCCCCATCCTCTCATCCCCCTGTCCTCTCATCCCTCTGTCCTCTCATCCCCCCGTTCTCTCATCCTTCTGTCCTCTCGTCCCCCTGTCCTCTCGTCCCCTTGTCCTCTCGTCCCCCTGTCCTCTCATCCCCCTGTCCTCTTGTCCCCTTGTCCTCTCGTCCCCCTGTCCTCTCATCCCCCCGTCCTCTCATCCCCCTGTTCCCTGTCCTCTCGTCCCCCCATCCTCTCATCCCCCCGTCCCCTGTCCTCTCGTCCGCCTGTCCTCTCATCCCCCCGTCCTCTCATCCCTCTGTCCTCTCGTCCCCCCATCCTCTCATCCCCCCGTCCTCTCACCCCCCTGTCCCCTCATCCCCCTGTCCTCTCATCCCCCTGTCCTCTCATTCTCACCCCCCCGTCCTCTCATCCCCCTGTTCCCTGTCCTCTCGTCCCCTAATCCTCTCATCCCCCCGTCCCCTGTCCTCTCGTCCCCCTGTCCTCTCGTCCCCCTGTCCTCTCGCCCCCCTGTCCTCTCATCCCCCCGTTCTCTCATCCCTCTGTCCTCTCATCCCCCCGTCCTCTCATCCCCCCGTCCCCCTGACCTCTCGTCCCCCTGTCCTCTCGTCCTCTTGTCCTCACATGCCCCTGTCCTTTCATCCTCCCGTCCTCACAGTTCATATTCTCTCTGTCCCCCTTCTCTCTGTTTCCCTTCTCCTTATCGCCTTTCTCCCTGTCCCTCGTCTTCCTCACCCCCTTCCCCGTATACCTATCCCCTACTACCACTATTGCCTTCCCTGCCCTTCCTCACCCTCCCTCCCATTTCCCCCCACCCTCTGCCTCCCTTTCCCTCACCATCTCCCCATGTGTGGCAACTGTCAGCAAGCTCATCGCCACCACACCTCCTCTCTCAACAGAGGACAATGCACTGATGTGGATGGAGACCGGGGGTTGTCCACCTCCAACACCACCTGTTGGCTCGTACACCATATGATGGCACTCAATTTTACCACCGTTGACTCTCACTGCAGGAGAGCTTATGTTGTGCCATTCTTGAAACTAGGACCATTAAGGCAAACATGTTTGGTGGACAAGTGCTCATTCGCATAAATGTGGATTCCAAAATTCAATGTAAAATCATTTATACATGTATACGCCTGCTGTGACTTGAGCCACTTGACACACACGCGTGCTAATTATGCTGAGTCATGAGCAAAAACATCAAACTACCGTACTTGCTTTAGAAGGTGCAACCTGTTGCTGCCAAAATCATGCAGGTAGGAGGAGTAGTATCTGTAGGCTACATGTACTCAATCGTGTGGTGGTAATGTCTTGTATGCGGTGAAAATTTCCAACAAACACAAAAATGTTCCGGACACCAAATGGATCTGCAGTTCAGTGGAGCAAAACATGGAGAAGTAGAGCAAAGAAAGAGACGAATGGTAATGAGAGCACCACATTGGGAGCAATAAGGGGCCACTCCTGACCTTGAAAGCTGTTGACATATAGCCCATGCGGCTGGTTGAACGCATGTGTGGGGAGGGGTGTGAGGCATGGGCAACATTAGTGCCATGATAGTGAAACGAGCACAAAAAGATAAATCAGTGGTTGTAGTATGCATCAAAGGTTAGAACCAAGAAGACATGGAACCGGATGGAGTAGGAGCAGCCTGTATTTTGTTGCAAAGGGGATTATTGGGTAGTATCACAATGCATGCTAAGTCGACAAAGACGAACGAAGGGTTTACGAAAGACACCTCATGGTAAATGGTTTGCACTTGACTTACGCTGGTTGACGAACACCGCATATAGTTGACGAACACCGTTTCTTGAACCATGTAAGAACCGCCTTGTGCGTTTCCGATCTAGGCTCATAAAGTGCACATTCCCTGCCCCACTTCTCGGTAACACACCTTGGAGGAATACTCCCGTTCCGTCCACACTCGGAGTGGTCACCTGCCCAGTGGTTAGGTGCCGTCCCAATTTCCTTTGCCACATCTTCGGGAGTCATAGGGGTGCCCGCTTTCAACAGCGCCGTGCAACGCATCATCACATGGAAGAAATGCGAGGCGAAGCGCTGCGCCACCGTACTCTCCTCATCGCCGGCGTTTATCTCATCTCCGCCACGTTTCCATTTTCGCCGCCCAGTCCAACGGGGCAAATTCTCTCCGACGTCACTTCCGTGGTTGTCGGTCTCACCCGCTGCACCATCGTTGTTGCAGCCAGTCATCGTCTCTGTCAGGTCAAAATGAGCAGTATGAACAATTTTAGGAAACAAGCGGCGTACTCCAATCTGAATATGACATGGAAAGTAAGTTTCACAAAGCGTTCATACCAGTAGCTTCATCATCGTTGGCCCACGGAGTCGTCCTGCCGATGAATCGTAAGTTACTGCATGCACCCGCATGTGCGTGCACGATGAGAGAACTAGCCAATGACGATGGTCTCGCACCACGCACAGGATGGATATCGTATTGCCATAACTCCTCCACATCCGCCCACTGCACATCAACTTGGGTTGCGCCCGCATCCGCCTCGTCAACCGCAGCATCTCGAACGATGGGCTGCATCTCTCCAGTAGTATCAAGACGCACCTCGCCATATCCCACTGGGACATCTACCGCCGCCCGTTCTCCTCCTAGCCGCCGGACTTTTCGCAATTCAGGAAACTTCCACTTGGCTTCATCAGGGGTCATCTTCACATATGCAATGGTACCCATGGCTTCACACACCGCCTTCACAAGTGATGCTTTCAGTGTCCCCTTCGCCTCTTTCTCCAATCCTTTGGTCCTCAACCACTGCTTTAACTCTTCCACCTTAGCCAACCATAGCTCCTCGACACAGCTAGCCTTGTCCACCTCCAGAGCCATCCACACCTAATCCTGAAGCTCCTTGCAGAAGAGATTGTACAGCGTCCGCTTCACGTGCTACCAATCCACATGATGATCCAGCTTTCGCTCTGCCGCAGCGCCTCTAAACGTGGTCCCTTGATCCGAGATGATGCCCTTGTCAGAATCCCAACCACTAGACCATTGGGATAAAGGGGCTTGTTTCAGTAGCGGGTCAGCGCGCCCATAACCCCCCAGGCAAACGCGCCTGTAACCCCTCCTAGGATCGATCGGGGATCTCACAGTGTAGCTCTACTGACACCCCCCCACAATGGGAGGCCCAAGACTAAGCATAGTGGCAACTGCCTACATGTGCATACACTGGGATTCGAACCCGAGCTCGCTCTGATACCATGTCAGAATCCCAACCACTAGACCATTGGGATAAAGGGGCTTGTTTCAGTAGCGGGTCAGTGCGCCCGTAACCCCCCAGGCAAACGCGCCTGTAACCCCCCCTAGGATCGATCGGGGATCTCACAGTGTAGCTCTACTGACAGCCCTTCACATCGAACCCCAATTGCTTCAACTCATCAACCCCTCTGTCGAATGCTACCCGCTCCAATCGCACCGACGATTTATCATCCACCCCTTTACGTGTTGTTACACAGTACAAGATCTTCCGCGACGGTATGTCCATGAACGACACTGTGCACCACTCACCCTCTCGGACATGTGACCATCGGCCATCCACCGTCACGTATTCGGCTGGAATGTCACGTTTGCTCATCTCCTCCCGCACCAAAGCCATCGACTTATCCGCCTCCCTAAGTATTGTTTTCCATAACCCATTATCGCCCCCAAGGTATCGATAGAACGTGCTTTTGCCAGGACATGGAATGCCAAGATTGCGGCTAAACTCCCACATCTGTTGATACCCCATCCCAGCGAGCGCGAATGCTCCCACATATTTTGAGTGTAGCATGGGCACTCGTGCACCAACCCCAACTCTCTTCTTGTCAAGGGTTCGATTGGTGCACGACCAGAATTCCACACCATGGGAACACTTATCGCATCTCCAAAACATGCCAACTGAAGCCCAAGAAAACTTCCATGACCTGAGAGACATAGCACCTCCGCATGTATTTTGATGCGAGCACACTAAGCGACACCCCTTGAAGAACCCGACAACGGTACGTGGTTCGACTAGACATACCCGTTGCTCAGGGATATCATCAACACTTGGTGATGTAGGCCAATGCCTGGGGACTGTCCCGCGCGCGCTCGCGCGTGGATGGCTGCAAACAGGCCTTACAAGGGGTATAGAAAAAGGACACAAATAGTGAGCGTATGGTTGCCGTGAAAGTGTAAAGAGCCTAAGTGGGACCAGATGATTTCATAAGGTTGTAACATGAATTCCAAATTTGTAGTAAATCAACTGCTCACCTGTCCTCTGGCATGCCATTCATCGTGCTCGGTGACGCTGTAGGCAATGACATGCTGCCGTTTGCATGATGTCCACCCCCCGCAGGCAAAGGAGGCACGGAAGGAGTAGAGGGTATGCCTTCGACATCACCACCACCCCTGACGGGCAGAGTAGGCACGGAAGAAGTAGAGAGTATGCCTTCGCCATCACCACCACCCCCGACGGGCAAAGGAGGCGCGGAAGGATGAGATGAAGCCGTAGCATTCTCCACCCCACCACCGTTCGTAGTGCCGCTACGAGCAGCGCGCTGTGCATTACCTGCACTTCAGCAATAGTGGTATGATAAGTAGATGTGGGCGTTGGGGCGACACGTCATCGTGAGACAGCATCACCCGTGTTCGGCTATGTAGCATGTTTGAAAGGCATTACCTCCTTGGTGCTGTAGAGAAAATGCCTTCCCGCGTCTTGCTCCTCCCCAAGACAAGCCCTCCACACGCCTTGGTCTCCCGCGATCATCTAACCGCATAAGCAGAAAGGCATATCTCACACCAAACTGTCAGAACATTATAGCTCATGCATATTGTGTAGGCTATAGTGGGGTAGCCCATAAGGGGTACAACCCAATTAGGGTTCGTACATGTACCCAATTCATTCATAGTTCATTCATTCTCGTTTCTTCTCATGGTATCGAGCAGGTTCCCTCGTGGGAACTGTTCCTAGGGCCCACCAAGTCGATTTTTTTTTTTCATGCCCGGAGCGCGCTTCGCTTAGGCCCGAGTCGCGCCTCGTGTGCCCTCTCTACCGTCGCGCCCGTCTTAGGCCTCCCTCGGCCCCGTCGCGTCGCCCCTAGCGGCCTCCCTCGCGCCGCCCTTACTCGGCCCGTCGCCGCCCTACTACGGCCCGTCGCGGCCCTTACGCGGCCCGTCGCCACCCTAAGCGGCCCGTCGCCGCCCTTGCGCCGCCCGTAAAGGCACGCCGCCGACCTCTGCAGCCCCTCGCGCCGCCCTCACCCGCGGCCCTGCCACCTACCTGCGGGCGCGCCACCCTACTAGCGGCCCCGCCGCCCTTACCTGCGGCCCCGCCGCCCTTACCTGCGGCCCCGCCGCCCTTCGCAACGGCCCCGTCACCTTACCTGCGGCCCCGCCGCCCTTCGCTGCGGCCCCACCACCTTACCTGCGGCCCCGCCGCCCTTACCTGCGGCCCCGTCGCCTGCTGCAGCGCTGCCCGCCACCCGAGCTGCCCCAGCCGCCATACCCAGCCGAGCAGCCGGCCGCCGCGCCGCTCAGCAGCCGAGCCGCCGAGCCGCCCAGAAACCGAGCCGCCCAGTAGCCGAGTCGCTCAGCAGCCGAGCCGCCCAGCAGCCGAGCCGCCCAGCAGCCGAGCCGCCCAGCAGCCAAGCCGCCCAGCAGCCGAGCCGCCCAGCAGCCGAGCCGCCCAGCAACCGAGCCGCCCGCACCGCCGAGCCGCCCTGTCCGGTAAGAGCAGCGCCTCTTTCTCAGCACTGCCCTTACCCTACTGTTTGCGCTGCTAGTCTACTGCTGTCATGGCTACCCCTAGTGTCCTCGCTTTTGACGCTGAGGGTCGGGCCATTGACTTTGACGTCTGGATAGATGACCTGCAGCTTTTCTAAAAGTGCGATAGGGCGGACGGTCTCTCTCTCTTTGACCTCACCTCTGGTGCCTCTCTTGCCCCTGCTGCTGATGCTGACGCCACTGTTCGCTCACAGTGGGCCACGCGCGATGCT